GCCTGCCAGATATGGTTTTTTATTTCTCCCCAAAATTTTACTGTTGTCTTAACTTTTACGTTTTAACAAGTAACAGTAGGAGCGAACAAAACTCGCTCCTTTCTCTACGCTGTTCTTTTAACGTTATTTTTAAGCTTTTAAAGGTATACTTATATAATTATATATAGTTTACAAATGCCAAAATTCTCAAATACCCAAGAATTCTCTCCAGGCGACTTAATTTTTGCCGAAAATATATTTCATTTCTTCAAGGGAACAATTTTTACCCAAAATTATGAGATAAATACCAAATCAGGCAACGCTGACCACACCGCACCCATCCGCTGATGTGCCAATGACACAATCTTTTGGGATTTTGCTTTATAAAAAGCAAACTTCGGTTGTGAAACAAAATTAGTATGAAAATAAGACGGGAGTAAACTCTATCCATTGTTAAAATAATCGTCAAAATCTGCTAAAAACTTTGATGTGTTAAACACAAAAAATATATTGAATATTCGTACTTTTTTGAGCCAAAAACATAAATGTTTCAGGTGGCATTGCCCGTCTAAATTAACATATTTGTATATCTGTGTAGGTATCCTCTCGAGTCGTCTGTTGAGTAACAAACTGTATTTTTGTTTAAATAATTTGCATTAAAATTAAATGTTTTAGTCATTTCCATTTTAGAATTTAGAATTCACACGACTTTAATACTAAACATCAATGTAAAAGGACGACGTAATATGTAGTAAAGGAAACCTACAGAACATCAGTTACAATGTACCTGTGTAGTATACATTGGTCAAACGCTGGTGTCCTACTACTCTACACTACCATAAGGCCTGGATTTTGAACTGGATGCTCCTGACGGCGCGCGGCGGGCCGGTTTCACCTCTATATTGATATTTCTTTTATTTTAAGAAACCGTCAATTTTCATTTGGTTATGACTAAGATTTGAGTCTTAAGTCCAGAATGGGTGTGGTTGGCGTTGCTTATCAAAGCACCCGGTGTTGGATGGGGACTTGTCAATTCGCTAGCTGGTATACAGGGTCATATCTACCAGTGTATCGCTGTCGCAACCACGTACCTATGTCGCGTTCTTTTCTAATTCGTTACAGAGCGCTCATTCATTGGTGGTCGTGTTTGAGTTTGACCTATTTCTTCTGGACAATAAATTGATATGATCGATATTCCAAGTAATGTTCGTCAATTGAATACAATTGTTAACTACCCACACAAGGGTAATGTTACTCGTTTTCTTGTAAGTCAATAAACTGGATAATATTAATTTATTGTAACTCCAATGAAAAATGTAAAAATGTTATCTTTCAATTTTCAGTTTGTCATAGCATATGGTGGACATACCATCGAATGTTTGGTGCTGGCTAGGCTCGTTCTTACAAGGACGAGATTACTTATGTCGTGAAATGGGTTGGAGAAGTAAGTTTTTTTTTAACGAGTGATAATAAAATGGTAACCCCGCCTGCGATAAAAGTATACATTGGCCGGGCTTCAGTGAGGTATGATAGGTGACAATGAAAACAGGTCAGTTAGCCCATCGCGACAAAATCCACTAGATTTAAATACAATGGTTTCCAGGGAGAACCACGTAGTCGACCTAATATGGTGTATTGCTAGCAATGGGATAGTTAGACCCCATTACAAACAATCCTTTTCCGCCGCAAACACTAAGTTACGAGGCTGCCTTTGTCGTACAATTTGCACAAGTAATGCGTTTATTAATATTGGTATGTTACTACTAGTATATTCTGCCATATTAGTTGAGTACTAAGTATTTATTATCTACGAGTATAATGCGGCGAGTGTGCTGCGCTTTGCTCCGATTGCCCCGTCGTTAGCATGCTGACCCCTGACCTAGGACATCGTGACCGTTGGTCCGAGTCAATATCTGCCTATTGATAAACAGTTTGAATCATCCTTTGATCTGGTGTTCCAGTTATTATACGGCTCTGACTGTGCGCCTGTGACACCGTTTGTACACAATTCACAATTTGTTCAGTACTCTTATCTCTGCCTTTGGAATGCTTTTGTGTGATCAAGGGTCTCTTCTTGGAAATATTTTTTATAGTCCGCGTGTAAGATTACATTCCCGCTTATCTAATTTATTAAGGTTATATCTCCAAATGACGTAGTGTGACGAACATTGAAGTCTTATGAACATGATACCTACCTCAATGGTATCGAACGTCTTCTTTCTTATTAGGTATATCTATACGTACCTAATAGGTATTATTATAATTTTAATAAGTTTTCGTTGTAAGATTCAGAGAAGTTATTTTTAATCAGCAAATATTTAAACGACTAATATAATTAATTAAATGTAGACGATAATTATCAATTCTTTATTTGCATACATTGTATATTCGTTTATAATAATTTAATTATAATTATGTATATACTGTCTTTCGGTTTGAAGGGTGGGATATGGCGTGAATTTACTGGGTACAGAGGAATAACACCTGAGTCCTCAGGAATGCCAACGCATGGAGGGTATCATGGGCGAAACAGTATACTCTGTTATGTCCATGGTACTGCTCATGTCTATAGGCGACCGTTATCACTTTCCATCAGGTGGGCCGTCAGCTTGTTTGCCATTCTAAGTTGTATAAAAAAAATATAATAACCATTTACTTGTAATCTCCTGTCACACACACAAAATTTTACAGAGAAAAACAAAGAAATCATAGTTTTCTCAACAATACGAGTATTATGGAAACAATTATACACGTGAGCCGCAGAAACACAACAAGGGAAATTTATTAAAAATTTAAAATAACGCTCAACACAAAAAAGGAAACAAAAAAGTAAAAACTTGGATTAGTAAGTCTAATATATGCATTAAACGACGTGTGGTCTTAGCTTGGAATGGGTCACGCCCATAGGTGTCGTAAGAGGCGACTAAGGAAATTTAATGATCGAGGGATAGGTAGCAGTGCACCCCCCTCCCCCCGGCATGTATGTTCAGCACAGGACAATAAACGGCTGATATGATGATATAAGTTCAAAATTATGTGCCTGTAACGATGATTTATCTATCTATCGAATACGGTACTCAGTGAGACAATTCCAATAAGTCGAAACACGCTATATGTGCTGTAAGTTACGGAGGAGTTGGCTATCTTGCAGATTATTTGAAGCTGCTTCATCAAGTAAAAGTTACCATGTCATTGAAATACCATTGAAGTAACGGAACACCCATTTTCAATTGAATCGGACATATGGAAGTTGGTGTCATCTCTGCATCAAGTAGAAAATGAGTTGATAGTCTTCAAACACCTGAACATATCTTCATAAATTATAGCTAAGAATTATCTTGAGCACATTAGCTTTCAAACCAAAACTGAAACAAAATCTATAATGCCATAGACAGATACATAGACACAAATAGACACGTTAAATTTATAACATCTCTTTTTGCGTCGCAGGCTAAAACAACTCAACTTTGCTCTGCAGGATAGAACAATGGTTTTCTACTATGGCCTGTAGTCAGTTGCGGCTGCATTTGTTCTAGCAATTCATTTACATGAACACTCAATGCAGTCCCCCGCTACACTTATTAACTGTACTTAGTAGCTAATTAAATCCACTTCTGTTAATAGTATAAAACAAACACTCTTCCTGGCATCTGTACTCTTATATCTTTTAAACTACGCAACGGATTTTGATGCGGTTATCATCAATAGATAGAGTGACATCTGAATCACTTCCTCTTGAGGTTAATACGTACAGTTTAACATTATCTTGTATTAAATTGTTGAACGATTGATGAACGATAATTGTTTAAGATATCGAAAGAAATCGAAAGCCAAGAGCTTTCATCGAATGGTCCTTCGGTGACAAAACGTAGGGAACAGAATGATTTGTACCTAACTAGTATATTGTATATAGGAGGTAACATACAATTAGTAGCTACAATTTTAAAATTGCGCAGTCAGCTTGACCGTGCGGTGGAAGTATGGCACGTACCAACCTAACAATGTAAATTAAGTCTCAACGAAAAGGCAGGCACATGAGTTCGCTCACGAAAACTCGTGTTAGTTGTACATTAGTTACTTCCATTACGTTGGAATGAAATTAATTCATAATTATTTAATAAAATTACTGCGGATTTTGGTAGGTAATGGTAGATACTTAATATAGAATTAAGCTAACGGTGCCAAAATTAAAAAAGGGATGTCTTGGGAATAGTTCGTTCCCTGTTTATTAAAGCCAATAGTAAATCCATGTTTAAAAAAATTCGGTAGAGTCATCTATGTAATCAGAAGATAAAAATAGAAGCGAGCCGTCCGAATTTGCCAGCCTTTTGTTACGTTAGCGGGCGTCGTGTTCGTGAAGTGAACAGGTGGACCGGCCTATGGATTACAAATATTGATTTTATTATATTATTTTTGTTAGTCGATAAAGGAAAGGGTGGAATTAAATGATTTTGAATTGCTCGCTGCAACAAGTACATTTTGCTCTGTACAAGAAGCAGCAAATTCACTAGTAATATAATTAACATGACACCAACACGAGAGTTCACCTTATCTATTGCAAATTAATCTTCAAAACAGGTTCAGAATCGTCAAGGTAATCACGTAACAGGACAAAATACTAATGTAGAACCGCCCTTCTTTTAGAAATTTGCGTTTATGAAGTACTTCGTCATTGTCTGTTTGTGTATTCACAGTTGAAGTTTTTTTGGGAGCATAATGTACTTGACACCTGTTGAAATAGCTATTTGCTTTTGTCCATTATTTGTGCACGGCCTGCCTGTTCCGATCAGTCGGCACAATGTGTTTTTCTTTTCCATTTCCACTGATTTCCTTTTAGTAGTCCCTTCCTATTTATGTTTATTTACCTACTTATTTAACATTGGGTTTTATTGCTTTACAATTCCCCTATTTTTACCCGACTATGTCAAAGCCTTAAGAAGTTGTTTTTAGCGGTCGACTCGTATCTATTTGTATTATAGCTGCCCTGCTTTGTGTTGACGTGCGTTACCGTTGCGTTGTAGATGTACAGCGGCGCGTTGCTGGCGACGGCGGCGCGGCTGGCCTGGGACCCCAGCACTTACACGTGGTTCCGGTTCCTGTGCGCGGCGCAGTACCGCGCCTCGGCCGCTTACGTGCTCGCCGCCGGGCTCTGGCTCGCCGCGCTCGTATACCTGGCCGCCGCCACCGCCGCCACCGCCGCGCACCGCTCGCGCCGCGTCGCCCCCGCGTTGCATCTCGTCAGTACCTGCATTCTATATCTCCGATAAAGAAAAATAACGTAATTATTGACGAATGTTACGATAGATACTATATCGGCCTCCGTGCCACAGGAAAAGGCACATTGCTTAATGGCACTAATAAACGGAAACAAACACTTCTAAATTAACTTTGGTTTGGATGTTAAATGTAAACTTAACTGTCTATCTCGACCCACTGAAACTGCGTAAAGATGATGCATCTCTGTGCATATTTCACCGAATTTATCATGGGGAGTGCTCTAAGAAATTGTTTGGATAGATACTTGCTGCTGATTTTCCCCTACCATAAACTAAAGTTTCATCCCAACCATCTGGACGAGTGGCCGTCTTCCAACGTGCGTTTTTCAAGGCATTTTCTTCCTCGCACAACCACTCTTTGGAATCAACTTCCAGCAGCAGTATTTCCGAACCGATACGACATCATAACCTTCAAGAAAAGAGCAATTTCGTTTTTAAAATGGCGGCAGTACAATTGCAATGCCGTTGGTGTCGTGAGTGATCATGGACGGCGGTAGTCACTTACGATCAGATGAGTCGCGTGCTCGTTTGCTCTCCTGTGTTGTAAAAAAAACTTGAAAATCAAGCAATTGATGTGATGATTTATGTCGATATTGCTGTAATTGGTCGGTGGCTTGCAGTACGCGTGCGGCGTGGTGTGCCTGGCGCTGAGCGAGGTGGGGTACGGCGCGTGGATGGCGGTGTCGCTGGCGGCGTGGTGGCGGACGGCGCCGCAGGCCGAGCTGGCCCGCCGCGGCATCGACCTGCTGCACGACATCAAGCCCGCGCTGCTCGCCGTCGAGCGGTACCGCGACGTCGCCAGGCCCGTCTACGATATGATAGAGGTGAGCTGCACTATTCCCTCACTACATACGAGTATGAATTAACACAGCCCACCTAGTGCCGCAAAACAATGTAGAAATATAAAACACGATAAATAAATGGGGATCGAATTTTTCCATGATCAATCCAAAACTTTCGATTGGGCCGACGCCATAACGTATTTCTTAAAAGATCGCGTTTTGAGAGTAAAAATATTTAAATCTTAGTAGTCACATGAATTTTCAAATTGAAGCTAAACGGATTTGTATTTAAGAGATTTTTAACAGAATGAGTGTACCTCAAGGATTTAGTTTATACTATCTGTATTCCGCGGTTTTGTTCCCGTAATCTTTATATAAATCTATGTTTTAAGTTAGAATATAATCTACCTGTATACCGAATTTCATCCAAATCCGTTTAATAATTTTTACGTGTAAGAGTAATGTAAAGTCATATCTATGTTAGTGCGTGCAGTGCAGAATGAAAATATTTTGTTTATTAAGAGGTTTAACAATTGCCAATTTAGCACTGCACGCACCGGGTTAATGTGCCGCCCCATCTTTTGTATCTTAATCGCCTTTGTTTGTATATAAATTAACATTTGTCTCGTATTAACTGTCAGTTGTCAGTTAATGAAATATACGATTAAACCAACCCAGTCGTATAAATCCATCCTGCAGCAGTGCAGCGGTGGCTCCGACGGCATGCGGGATGGATTGATACGATGAGATGGCTGGTGACATATATTTCAATTGACTTACAACTGATTGGCAATTGACTAAGTAACAAACATCCATATATCCTCCCAAACTTTCATATTTACAATGGCAGTAAGATTTGCATTTGTTAATATAATAGTTTGCCATAAACGAGTACCTTACATATTTATGACAAAAACCACTTTAGACCTTACTGTCTCTTACCTATTATTTATTACTTATAAAGATGATATATCCATCTGATGTGTTATTTTCAGGAGGTGGAGCGAGAGGCACCCAACAATGTGTTCGTAATCATTGTGTTCGGTGTTCTCGGCATGATACTTCAGGTGAGTTTCGTTCAGGTTTACGAGCGGTCTTCCTTCGTATGGTCGCAAATAATATGCACTGATAACTAAGTTAAAGGATGCCTTGAATAATCAAGTCGATGATAAACTGATAAATATTTATCTATTGAGGAGGCATCGTTTAACTAGGTTTAGAAATCAGTTCAGGGTACAGTAGGACTGATATATCTGAAGACGGTAAAAGCCCTTAAAATACTAAAAAAAAAAAACTATGTTTTTTTTTATATATAATTTAGAATGGCAAACAAGCTGACGGCCCACCTGATGGAAAGTGGTAACCGTCGCCTATAGACATGACATGCAAACAACTGCTTCACGGTAGAAACATGAATGGGTCGGAGGTGTCCAAGCAAGCGACTTTTGTACAAAGTTTCCCTCTGGTATGGTAATCCTCTCTCTGGTCTGTGCTTTACGAGTCCGCATTTGGAAAGATAACGTGTATTGTCATTGTTTTATCATAAATAAATGACGCGTAGTTACTTATTTAATAATTATATGGTGTGCGTGGACAGGTAGCGGCAGTGGTGATGGCATGTCGGCTGGCGCGGCGCGCGCAGCAGCCGGAGCGCAGCCCGCTGGCGGCCGAGGCCAAGCTCGGCGCGTCCGGCGCCGCCGCCGCCGCCGCCGCCGCCGCCGCCGACGACGACAGCGACAGCGCCGACTCGGCGCGCGACCCGCCGCCCGGCTGGCGCAAGAAGGCTAACCTGCGGATGTACACCATACTCGACAAGATTTTCTAGCAGGTGAGCTCGGCAACGGGAACGGCTTAGTTCACATCGTCGAAACACTCGCTTTGTGCCTTCGAAATAAAGATCGAAGTGAAGTGTCAGTGATCGATAACACATCGTGGTTGCTTTGGTTTTTTAATCGATGACAGTGGAATAGGAATTCCGCCTGCGCTGTCGGAATACGCTGGCGGGGCACCAGTGATGATAGGTGAGGATGAAAAGCCAGGTTAGCCCATTGTGATGAATATACCTAGAATTCAGCGCGATGGTTTCCAAGGGGGACCGTGGGTAGGTCGACCTGATAGGGTCTATTGCTAACAATGGGGTTGGTAGTGTTCATTATCAACATCTCCCCCGGTTGCTTCAGTTATGACCAGCTCCTAGGGTAGAGAGGCTCGTGTAGTTAAACCAGGCGCTGTGTGTCGACAGGACGAACGAGCCGTGGCGGAGCTCCAGTCGCCTCGGAGCCGCGCCGGCGGCGGGGCGCCGAGGACGCGGGCGGCGCGGCGCCGCGGGCGAGGCGCGCCGGCGCGGCGGCGGCCGTCGCGGCCCGCGTGCAGGGACGGCCGGGACGGCCGGGACGCGCGGGACGTGCACTGGGACGCGGTGCAGGCGCAGTTCCGCGCCACGCGCGGGCTGCGGCCGCCGCCGCCGACCGCGCCCGCCGCCGCGCTGCTCATCCTGCACACCGACCTCTAGCACCGGCGTCTATCCTCCGTGCGATTCCTATTTTATGACATAGATTTGAAAACTTGTCGATCGGGTCGCTTCGAAAGCGATGTGCCTGGACCCTGCCGAGAAATCATATCGCCGAGTGAAAACTGGGCGAGTTCGCACCATGCTCGACACGACCGAGACAAATATTTTTTCTGAGCGACGAGTGACCGATATTGGCCGGCGACGACGGACGTTTTGTTATTTAGATAACCATTTTCATTGTTGTGTCGTCGTCCGGGCTCCGCGTCCGACACACCGTTTGACACTGCCAATCGATCATAACTAATACAATTGACCTATATGTCTATATTTACTAGTTTTAAGTTAGAATATATATAAAACTATATCTATGAATTGTTAGGTGCGTAACGTAACGATAATTAAATATTGGGTTATGTTGGTGGAATGAGACGCCACACGCTAACCCAGGAGACTCTTCTCGATGTACCTCGGTAGGTGCATTTATATTATATATTTAGATATTATAATGTAACAGACTGCCATGTTGTTTATAGTTGACACGAATGACGTAGGCACTGCGTCGCCTGCTAGGCGCCCGTGTCGTCATATCACCAGTGTTACGGAGCTGTAATCGTTTGCGTAGTGTTCATAGACTACCTTACAGTATATAATATTTGTGATAGGGTATGTTTAACTATACGTGCGTCGCCGCCCGCCGCCGGCCGCCGGCCGCCGGCCGCACGAGCCGACGCCGGGCGGGGACCTAACGTTCCTAGAGCCTCGCCTTCTAGCGTAGTAAGTAAACTTTGTTGTGACTTCGTACCGAGAGACGTGTGGTGCTATCCGATGTTCCCTCGCTGCTCGTTCGTTGCCGTGACTAGTGAACGTTGCTCGCGTCGTACGTAGGTCATGGGTACATGCGATGCGACGCGATGCCATTCCATTTTGCTGTGATTTGTTTTTATGTCATTTTCAAATGTAACTCAAACGAACGAGAAGTCGTGAAGCGGGCTCGACTAGTAGCCACGCCGGCCACCAGCTCGAGCCGCGCCTTACGTTCGTCTGCCATATTTGTATGTAAGAATATCGTTGACTTCCAGCAATGGTTGTTTTGTACTTGGTGCCAAATAGTTAAGTTTGTTAAGGGTAGGGCTCACCTCGAATAATATTATTTGGTGGACATGTGGACCCACTAGACTAGAGATGTGAATTAAATTGAAAATTATATAATTTGTACAAAAATTTGATTATCATAAGTAGCTTTTACGTTGACCACAATAAACAGTTAACCTATTTTGTAATTGCGAATAAAAGTGTAATATTTTTTTTTTGTCGGTTTCCATCTCTAATAGTCGGTGCATAAACGCGTTAGAAACATTGACAATATACGTACGAAACGAATCAGAGGGGAGCTGCCTGTTCAGTCCGCCAGTAGACAATAAGTCCGCGGGGCGCTGCGCCCGCGCCGCCCGCATTCCATGTTATTATACCACTACGATACATTTTATTTGTAGCCAATAAGATTATTAAAGCAATAAAGTGATATTTTTGTATGAAACATATTTGTTTTATTGTTTTATTCACGGCAGGCAGTTAATTAGTAGGGACAAGTTTTCTTTCCTCTACAGAGATATTCGTTCTGTTCTTATTATTAGAACAGAATAGAATTTTATCGCTAACTGTGTACATACATATGGTAGTAAACATTGCTTTTGATTTGACACCAGTATCAACAGTTATACCCTGCCGGGCGTGCAACAATTTGAGAACAGGTAATTAGCTAGCAATGACATCGACGTCGAAACATTCAAATACTATTACCATTACTTGATTGCAAATAGATATGAAATATTATACAATACAACTAATAAAATAAAGAATAATCAAAACCAAATTAAAATAAATAGACATACTTTCGCTTACATATCAATAGAAATATAGATACTACTCATAGTGTCAGTAGATAAACGTTTCCAAACTACAACAAGAGAAGACTTAATCTGTACTAATATACAAAGCGGAAGAGTTCGTTTGTTTGAACGAACTAGTTTCTGTAATACCTATCGGATTTAAAAGAAATGCGTTTGATAGCATATTTCTCGAGGAAGGCTTAGCCTATAGGCTATTCAATATCTCGATACGATCACGGGAAAGCCTCGGGACCGACATATAACCTGTCAAAATTTATTGTTATCGATTAATCCACTTTTGGAATTTTTTTTTTACAACACAGGGGGCAAACGAGCATTCGGCTCACCTGATGGTAAGTGACTACCGCCGCCCATGATCACCCACAACACCAGCGGCATTGCAGGTGTGCTGCCGGCCTTTTAAAAAGGAATATACTCTTTTCTTGAAGGTTATGTTATCGTATCGGTTCGGAAATACTGCTGCTGGAAGTTGATTCCAAAGAATGGTTGTGCGTGGAAGAAAGTGCCTTAAAAAACGCACGGTGGAAGACCGGCACTCGTCCAGATGATTGGGATGAAACTTTAGTTTGTGGCGGGTTGTACGGTGGTGAAAATCAGCAGCAGGTATCAGTCCGAACAATTCCTCAGAACACTCCCCATGATAAATTCGGTAGAAGATGCACAGAGATGCAACATCTCTGCGCAGTTTCAGTGGGTCAAGTATATTTTCCTGTTCCCGGTTTATTTCTAATTAAATAACTCTTTAAAATTTTGGCGAATTAGTATCATGAACCATTTGTAATCGTAGTTTGATTGGCTCGTATCTCTGATAGAGTTATCTAATCTTAACATTTTGGTCGCAGCAGGTGCCCGGGGTACATTGCAAGTGCGCGTGCGCATATCAGCACACTAAACGTTTACAATGTTTTATTTATTTTCTTTATATATTTTATTTTTGAGGAAAACAACAATATCATTATTAACTTCGTTTTGTAATTAAAGTTCGCTAATATAAAACATATGTACTTAAATAGTTTATGATTGGAGAGTGGAGTGTATACAGTGTGCTTTAAAATAGATGTGTCGTGGCGGGTGCATGTGTCTTGTTGAACTACACACGGAGTGCTGTATAGCTGAGTGGTAGTGCGTGTAATACCAGCTGTCTTAGTGGTAGCAGTAGGTGGTACCGCAACCAGCAGTCAGCAGTTGCAGTGGTGCGGCGTCATGTCTCGCGGCACGATGAGGACGAGCGCGCGGGTATCCAGCCACCTCTTGATCCATGTCAATCTTTTGCTTACGGTATGCTTATTCGCCTTTCCCTCCTTACTGATATCGCAAATGCGAAATTACGTTTGTTTGTTTGTTATCACCTCTATCTTTGTATATCTCTTCGCGCCTTAAAGGCTCGACCGATCGGTATATACATATAAATAATATTAAGGATGGAAGGAGGACAAAACAATGATACTTAATGTCATTTGAGTTCTACAAAGTTTGGGAAGATAGTGTTAAAAGTCGCTTACATGTTGAACCATTGTAACTACGTTACATAATACAAAGCTATTGAGTAAAATAGTATAAAAATATGCATAAACTTAATGGAGTGATAAAGGCATTTTTTGTGGTTAAAAACGTAATCGTAATCCTGCTTGTGCCGACGGTATCGCTGGCGGGGCGCCAGTGAAGAATAATAGGTGAGGATGAAAAGGCAGGCTAGTTAGCCCATTGTGATGAATTCACTTGGAATTAAACACCACTGTTTCCAGAAGAAACCGCGCGGAGGGTGAATTGATAGAGTATGTTGTTAGTTATGGGGCTATTCATCCCCGTCCTTCCCCCGGGTGAGTGATAAAGGTATTTGTCACCTGCTGTTGTTATGGTAGAAAAATGTAACACTACATAATAAAGGAATATTAGGAATATTACGAAAAAGCTGCTACTGTACTACTTGATGATATAATTCATGAGACAGCTCAGCACAGAGCAGCAACAGCAGGTGAGCTACGTGTGAACGATATCCATCTATGCCGGACCAGCCATATCACATTATCACTTCACGGTTATGATTATGACTAATATAGAATTGTGAGTCATAAAAACACACATATAATACACTACAGGCGGGGGGAAAAGGGATTGTTAGTAATGGAACTAAGAATCCCATTGCTAGCAATATATCCAACCAGGTCGACCTCCTCGCGGTTCCCTCTGGAAACTATCTTGATTAATTCCTGATGAATTTATCATGATGGGCTAACTGGCATGTTTTCGTCCTCCTCAATCTCCCTTCACTGGTGCTCCGTCAGCGTATCCCGTTAGCGCAGGCGGGGTTACCACTCCATTTTCATCCAATAAAAAAAAATACACTACAGGCTCGCCGACTTCTAGAAAATATCGTGAGTGCTCGTGCTCCTTTGATAACTAGGTACATATGGTAGATCTTTACTTCAGCTGAAAGACGTACACTGCTAGCTGGACAAGCAAGCTAGACTTAAACAGCTGATCATGAGGATGAGAAAGAATAAGATGTGGGTTATTTTAGTTTTATGACGTCTAGTGTCTGTCTGTTTACTGTATAGATAATCTATATATAGGATAATTTTATTGTTACCCTATTCCCTTTGGCCGCAACAGAATATCAGTGTTTGCTCTTTTGAGGGCGAAGCAATAAACTGAGTTATCACTATTTTGTATTGTTATGGCACACGCACAAAAGGTAAAAATTTACTTGACTTTATGTATTTATTTTAATTATTCTCTTACCTCGCTTTTTATGTATATCTGTATCTGTTATAATTAGTGTGCTGTAAGTAATGCAAATATCTATCTACCTAGTGTCGTAGGTGCTCCGCATCCATCCGCAACCTCTCGTGGTTGCCTGAGTTGCCTAGCCCCACGGAGCAGGCGCCTTTAATACACTACCTGTTTCCCACGGCTATCATCATCATCATTTCAGCCGTTAACTGTCCACTGTTGAACATATGCCTTCCTCAAAAGGGGAGCTTTGCCAGTAGTTGTCACGCTTGGCAGGCGTATTGGCAACCGCAGTTAGGCTTTTAGAGATGTTTTAAGAGGGACGCTGCTGCCCATCCCTATACCATTAAGTTCTTTTAGTCGCCTTCTATGACATCCACAGGAAAGGAAGGGGTGGCCTATTCTACGCCGGGACCACACGGCCTCGCTTCATGGCAATGCTCGTGTGAACTAAAATGAAAAGTATCCTATGTGTTGAGTTGGGATATAACCTAGTCGTGTACCAAATATCATTCAAATACTTTCAGTCTTTTGGACGTGGTAGCTGTTAGTTAATCTTTATAAACGTTTACATTTACAATATCTTTAGGATTTAATATATGATGAAACAGATTCAATTAGCATTTAAGAGTATTTTACAAGTGGAACTGTAGCAACTATTTTATTTTAAAATGACAAAAAAATCCAGGCGCATCCAGTTTTCTATTTAGCGTGTTCTATTTATTTCTATAATTTTCAGTTTCGCTTACATGTATAGATACATATATGTGTCTAACGTGAAAATTATTTATGAAACTGAAAGATTTTCTTTAAGGATCTCAAGAAATATTTTGACTCTCGTACATACTACGTAGCCACTTGTTCGATAGTACATAATCATTATCTCAGCCATTATCTGTCTACTGCTGGACATAATTAATAACAATTGCACCATCGGGCGCAAACCTACAGTGAAAATAAAGAAAAAATTAATTTATTAAAATCAGTCAATATCATAATCATATATAACATGATATGCCTTATGAAGGTATCTTCTAGAGTGTTGAGAATATTCTCTGGAGCACTTTCAAATCGGCATAGACGCAAAGTTTTTTTTAATGGATGATAATGGAATGGTTACCCCGCCTGCGCTATCGGTACACGCTGGTGGGACATCAATGAGGGATGGTTGGTGAGAATGGAAAGGCAGATCAGTTAGCCCATCGTGATGAATACACCTGGAATTCAGCACAATGGTATCTAAGGGGAACCACGTGGAGGTCGACCTGACAAAGTATATTGCTAGAAATAGGAATGGTAATCTGCATTACCATTCCCATTACTAGCATCTCTTTCCTTCACAAGACGCAAAGTTTTAATACATAGTTGCATGACTTATCATAAAGCGCAGTGTTTATGCAAGCACGCGCTTTAGGAGAAGTTTAGTACTCGTATAAAGGTAGGAACACGAGGGAGAGAAAGATCCGAGCAGACGACTGTTGCACAGCTTCTCTCTGTGGTAAAGTAATAAAAAGGAAAATCAGGAAGGTCATAGAGAGCGGGCGCGCGTGCGGTTACAGTTGTCGAGCGGCGCGGGGCTGGCGACGGCGGCGCGCCTCAAGTGGGACCCCAGCACGTACGTGGTGGTGCGCGAGCTGGTGCCCACCGAGTACCGGGTGTTCGCGGCGGTGCTGTGCGCCGCCTCCTTCGCGCTGATGCTGCTGGCGCATCTCGGCGGCGCCGCGCTACTCACGCGCCCTTCGCCCGCCCGCCGGACCATGCTCTACACGGTGAGCCCTTTATAAACATGAATAACACCACGGACGTCATGGTGTGACACTGTGATACCCACGGTAGCCCTCATGCGTTGCTATTACTACATTACTTACACTATGGTAGTATAATCCGTATTGAAAAAAAAAAATGTCATGCGGTACTGTTCTAGGGTGTATTTATGTATTTAAATCTAAATTATAACGTACCTATACGTACGTGGATGTGAATAAGGGCCTGTTTAGTGGTGTTATGCCTCCATATTTTGTAATTTCACTGCACGTATTCGATTCTACAAACATAAACACAGTCGGCTAAGCGTAGCTGCTGTACGGCGGAAACTCGATTAGAACAGAGACATGTGTAATGATACGCGCTCATAGCGATGTAATATCGCTAGGCGTGCAGATCATTCATTGATCGTACATGATTAAACTGCCTGCGTAGTTTGGCCACGCTGTATTTAGAACGATAAATCATACAGTTTATTACGTATATTGTAGTGAAACCGTATCTAAAGAAATAAGGTGTCGCGAAAATTTGAGATTCTGTAAATAAATGACGCCTTTTCAATTCGTAGGCGGTATTGAGCCCTTAGTTCTAACGCGAGACATTGCCTCCCTTTGCGTGTTTTAGCGTTGTATAACAGTTTGTGTTCTGAGGAAATATTTGAAATGATGCCCACGGCCATTTTAAATCATCGCTCGCTATCGCTATTCATCCTCACACGCTTGAACCTAAATGGTATAATAATATTGTAGAATGCAATAAATAAATTGAATTGAATTGGTCACGTACAGTGCGGATTTAAAGGAATTTTCTGCTGCGAACGTTTAGGCTGTAGAATGAGTTTCTTGCCTTAGTTTTTTATAGAAATCACAGTATGAGGTTTTTTAAAAAAGCCCACGTCACACCTAGTGTTGCACGCGTCCGACCATTTACTATCAGATGGGCTGTATGCTTGTTTGCCGCCTTTGTATAATGAGAAAAGCTGTAAACAAATGTTGGTAGCATATATTTGGCCGCAGTTCGCGGCGCTCATGTCGGTGCTGGTGATGTGCGAGCTGGTGTTCATGAGCTGGGCGCTGGGCCGGCTGCTCGCCTGGCTGCACTCGCCGGATGCCGCCGTTGTCTACGAGGCGCTCGACCTCCGCGACGAGATCCGCACCATTATGAGGTTCATCAACCGCCTGTATCCGCTCCCCGCCGAGATTAATGAACTCTTAGAGGTTAGTTTCACTACGCATTTCCCTCCAGCTAACAATGGAAACACCTTCCATGCTCCTGATGAGGGTTATTAAGGCAATGTCCACTTCATTCATAGTATGTATATAACTTAATTACATGCATTTGATTTAACAATAGTCTCCGATACTGTCAACGATGTAGCAGCAGAGTCTACTCCGCTCTCCTCTTCTGGCGCATATTCCGATGGTATAGTAAGTACTGCATCAGCGGAATATGTGTCGGAAGTTCAATTCTTAAGGACGGAGATTCTTCGTTCTGGATTCCAACAAATAACTTGCGGACAGGCAACGGATAGGCTGGCTTTGGCTTATTTGGGTAGACAGTGAAATTACTGGATATACATTATTCTGTACAAGTATGCAGGCGATGATGGCTTAGTATCAGGTGGGTCATTGGCTCATTTGCTAATTCAACAATTCAAGTTGCATGAGAATGGAATAACGATTTTAAAAAAGAAAAGAGAAAATTAATTTATTTAGTGACATTCATAGAAATTATAGCAACTGATAGTAAAAACAAATTCTAATCGTTAAAAAGGCTCTTACCATGTGACAGTCTTTACGGCTTTCCAACGTTGAACTTCTGTAGGAGATTATGCGGAGAGTGCTGTGCACAACAATGACATTTAATAACTTTTTATGATGAATTAGGAGGTGGAGCAGGACCTGCCACGCAACCTGTACGTGGCGGGGGCCGGAGTGGTGCTGGTGGCCCTCTCGCAGCCGCTGTCCATCGCGCTGGCGTGCGTGGCGGCGCGCGGCGCCACGGACGGTGCGCACGGCGACGCTGCCGGTGACCGGGGACTCAGTCGCTCGACCACCGACGACGGAGACATCTTCCATTCGTGAGTAGTTCTTTGCTCTTAGTACTTTAAACTGACTGTTCTTTCGTCCCTGGGTTACCGGGTAATTATTTTTTAACGAGTAGGTAACATTAAATTGTTTCAAAATTTAGAAATTGCAAATAGCCGCACCGTTATCACCACAGATTCACAAAAATAACTTAATAATCCTTTAAACATACAAATGTGCCATTATTTTAATTTCACAGAGACTCGAAGAAGCCGTTGATCAAATACCAGAATGGACGACTCGTGGCGCTGTGAACGCCTCCCACCATGGACTCTCCCAACGCACCCATTTTATTCAATCTGTGGAATTTGTAAACCAGGGAAAGAAAAGAGAAAAAATAATGTAAATATTTTTTTTCTGGAAAATCGGCAAAATATTAAAGCGTGTGAAATACATACACATCGCACAGAAATTAAACAACGCTTGGAAAATTTATATTAATATAATATATTTAGTATTGTATAAATTAATGATTTACAGAATGTAGTTAGCATACTCGTATTTCGCCGAAACGAAGTTGTGATTTGAGTCTCGGTTAGACCAATTTAGAATATAAACTTTCGATGGTGACGCATCTTGTTGCTCGGTTTGTCCCGACCTTTCTTATTCTCACAATGCTGGGTCAGCAATCATGCATGATCTATAAAAAAAAATCTAAGTCATAACAATTATATACGAAATAAATGGCAAATTGTCTTAATTTCATGACTAAATTAAAGTGTTGATATACCTCCCCATTACATTATATTTATTTATATTTTATAATAATTTGAATACAATTTCCATTATTTATATTATATTATTATTCATATTGTTAATATCTTTACTCATTTAATAATTTAATTATATTTTAATGTTTGTCAAACACAAGGCACGCTGTGGTTGCCTATAAATGTAAGAACGGTGAGATCTGAGCTGCCAGTGTATTGTATTAAAACTTAGCTTTATTGTAGCTGTATCTTATGTTGGTAATCCTGTAAATAAATAAATAAATTAATAAATTTATAATTTCTATTATTGGTTATTGTTACTAAGAGTATAGGCGTGTATAGCAACAGATGGATTACTGTTAATATAATGTTAATGAGAGAAAATAATGAACTTGAAACGTGTTAGTAGTTAAAACACTGTATATTATGTAGCTATCTACTACGGCAATAACCTCTGTTCAAATGTATATTTTTAATGTAGTCTAGTGTGTTGTGAATGTAGTGTACGAAATATTTTAAATTGCAATATGAATTGGCAATAAAAGATGAAGGGAAATAAGGAACATAGTGTTGCAGGCGTCCGTAGCCTACAGTGACCGTTTACCATCAGATCGGCTGTATGCTCGTTTGCCACCTCCGTGGTATTATAGAAAAAAACATGGAGGGAGTGAAACAGTTGTATTTTTCTTGCAGGCTTTGGGTGGTGGTATTATGGTTCTATCACGTGACGCCACTTGCAGTGGATACTGTAGTACACTGCGCGTATTACTGTAGGAATCTAAAATATGTAAACTAAATTGCATAAATATTATTTACAATTAAATGTGTATTTTTTATGTAATTTATTTATTTATTTGTAAAAGGAAAACCAAAACTTATTAACATAAAAAATAACTACACGATAACAACAATTATAAATATTAATTAATGATATTATTGATTTTTTTGTAATATTTTAATATAAATTTTCTTTTAACATCTTGTACGTGTTTTTTTTTTGTGTATGATAATGGTAGAATAGCTCCGCCTGCGCTGTCAGTATACGCTGGTGGGGTTCCAGTCAAGGGTGATAAGGTTAGCATATCATGATCAATTTTACAAGAATTTACCATGATAGTTTTCAGGGAGAACCGCATGAAGATCTACCTATTAAGATTTTTTTGCTACTTAGAATGGCAAACAAGCTGATGGTCCACTTGATGGAAAGTTGTAACCGTCTATAGACATGAGCAGTGCCATAGGCATAACAGAGTATACTGTTTCGTCCATGATATCCCCCATGCGTTGCCTTTCCTGAGGACTCAGGTGTTATTCCTCTGTACCCTGTAAATTCATTACCATATACCATTCTTTAAACCGAAACACAGTCATGCAAACACAATAGCTTCACGGTAGAAACATGAATAGGACAGAGGTGCCTAAGCAAACGACATATTGCAAGCAACGGCCCCATTACTAACAATCCCTTTCCCTCTGTAATACATGTAGTATTTACTTTACAAGTTTCCAAATAATCTATTTATAATGATATTTATTAATATATATATATATATATATATATATATATATATATATGATGCTAATATCAGCTATATTCATCATCATCACATCAGCTTTTAACTGTTCACTGCTGAGCATGAGCCTCCAACATAAGGGAGGGTTTGCCAGTAGTTGCTACACTTGGCAGGTGGATTGGCAACCGCAGTTAGACTTCGGATGTTTTAAGAGAGATGCTGTTGTCCGTCCCTGGACTATAAGTTCCCTAGTCGCCCCTTATGATACTCACGGGTAAGAAAGGGATGGCCTATCCTATGTATCGAATATGTATATTCGTCTGCTAGTGTATATACCGTTAGTACAGGCGGGTGCAGCATTTCATCTTACATTATAGCCGCCTCCTATGAAGGCGGATAGGGATCGTCGGCAATATACCCTATCAGGTCGACTTGGTTCCCCTGGAAGTCATCGTGGTAAATTCTTATTAAATTTGTCACGGTAGGCAGACTGATCTTCTTTCATGTTCACCTATCACCTCTCACTAGTCCCCCGCCGGCGTACAGCGGCAGCATAAGTGAGTTGTCATTCCCTCTTCACTCATTAAAAACCCCTGTGTAAGTGAACAACATAGCTTCCCGTTTCGTAGGAGCACTACACAATAGAGTGCAGCTATATGAGGTATGTATTATAGATAGCGAGACGACAGTAACGTTAGTATAAAAATGAAACAAAAAGTATATCGTTCAACATTGATTTATTTATACATCTTGAAATTGAAAGTGTACAATGCTCGACCCCATCGTACGCATACAGTTCGTACTGATACAGACTGTGCAAAAATATATAACCGGTGCCGGGGCACGAGCGCCCGAGCCTCGGACGCCGGGCTCCGGAGTCCGGAGCGTGGGGCTCGCTGACCCCGTTTATATCATTACCTATACAACAAGAGTACATATGTATATTACATCTATCGTATTAGAATATCTCATACATTAACAACAAAATATTGTATTATCTAGAATATTCTGGGGGTTGGAGCGGGACCTGAACTGATGAACGGCGCAAGGCTTCTCCAGACACGGGTGCCTCCCTTTTATATATGTGAATAAACATACACGACAAGGCCAGCCCGTGGAATACGTATAAAGTATTTGAGTATCTTTCTGGTGATGATCGTGAAATATGCCCCTGTCTCGGCGGTGGCGGCGGCGGCGGCACCGGCGCGCCGAGCTCTCTACGCCCAAATTTAAATTGCTTACAAATAGTGAACTGTGATCTACAGAGCAACCCTTGTGGGTTGTAGCGTAAGAGATAAAATTACGGTTTGAACCTCAGCGATGGGACTTCAACGTCATGCATCATGAGTTTAACAGGTTCCCTAGCATACGAGACCGACAGAAACGATGCGGCTCTCGCCGCGTACAATAAATGCCTACATTTTATAATATTATAATGTATATAAATATAGTTTCTACATCACACCATGATATGACATCGCGTTTCCGTAAATTGGACACAGACATCCGTAACACCCTCACGTGTACATATAAATTAGTAGCATAACACAGACGCAGCAACAGTGAACACCGCCAATAAAGAATTTGTAGTTTAACAACCAGTGAAGTGCGCGTGATGTGTGTGTACTGTACGTTTCCGGCACGGCGGCCGGCGGTGCGCAGGCGCAGGCGCAGGCGTCGAGCGCCTCGTACGCCGGCCGCCGGCCGCCACATGCGTATACACACACCCTCACCCACCCTCCGCACATAAATCCTATCACACAATCACACGCCCACAGCTGGGTAGCGCTAGCGATATATCAGATAAATATTATATACATGTATTATCTCGTCTGCGACACCCTATCTTAAATTACATAGATGCACACTTGATATCAATTGATTGACATAACACTAGTTGCGGAGGTCGTCTCTATAGTATAATAACCGCCCTGAAGATATAATATTAAGTACAAGCAAAAATATTTGGATTAAAGATTTCACAATATTGATATTTCAAATGTAAAAGCGACTAATACACGACACACGTAGAATTGGGTGACGTTTTATCAACTCTCGACCGCTTCGTCGCGGCGCGCTGCGTCACTGCACTATGTGTGCCGATCACATTACACTGGATTACATTACAAATAAAAATGGGCATCTCCTACTGTTTCAGTATCTACGTAAATCCATTATGTTCATGCCCTAGAGTAGATGTGTGCTCGTCTAAAATTCGCTAAATGTCCGGAGCCGGAACATAATAGGTTTATGATATTATAAAAAGAATCAACCTATGTATCATAGGAATATCTACCAGGCTCGATTACAATATTATAATTAACTATTAACTATGTAACAAATCACAATAAATTTTTTAAGTACTTCAACAAATCATAACCCTTAAATCGTTGAATTTTAAAAATTAAGTGCTACGTACATTATAACATTTTGTTACATTGAATTTTTAGAAGAAAACTTTCAACTTTCACTCTTTACTGGAACTACCACTATAGAGTGAAGTTCTGGCGGGCTGGGCCGTCCGGCTCGGCCGCTAAACGATTTCTACATTGTGCTTGGTGTGTGCAGACCGCGGAGGGACTGCGGCGCAGTCGGCCGCAAAAGGAAACGAACTCGTCTTCGAACCCTCTACTCGGAACTAAGCTTAAAGAGTCGAAAGTATTGGACTGCAATACATCTCTGAACCACTACCACCATTTAACTATAGTAAGACAAAATAATGCTACTTGAGAGAGCTGTATAGACAGTTTATCTATAGGCGGGTACAGAGTGCTGGTCCGCTAGGAAGGGATTGGCAGGGCGCGCTGGCGACGGCTGCGGCGGCGCCTGCCCCGGCACGCCCAGGCTGTCCGCGCCGCTGTAGCTCTGCAACGTACACCACACACAGTCACGCACATGTCGAATACAAAAGAGAACCAGCTGACGTCATAGAAAGTGATGACGGTCGCTTATAAATATGAACAATATGATGGATATCGTAAAATGCACTACTATACCCGTGGTGACCTCACAGATAGCTATTTCATAGTCATATCATTATCTTATCAGCTTTTAACTCTCCACTGTTGAAAATAAGCTTCCTCCTAGGGGGGTTTCCGGAAGTTGCCAATTCTTGATACATACCTCATGAAGGGCAAAGTGACCTGTATTCATGTTCACCTATCATATCTCACTAGTGCCCCGCTAGTGATCATCAGTAGATGCGTGGTTGCTACTCTATTATCATCTATTAAAAACATATTTAAAATAATCAGTCAATCACAGCCAGGACCGGATTAACCATATTCTTATTTAATACACGTTTGGTTTACAAAATAAAAAAACTAATGTAACACAAATTTTTGTCGTGACGCGGGACCCCTATATGTCGAGGAGCCCTAGGCTGTTGCCTACACTGCCTAATGGATAATCTTGCCCTGACCGCAGCTGCTTGGCGTGATGAATAGCCTGATACAATCTGTCGTTGGCAAAGGAAAAAAGGGAGAGTCTATTTACAAGCGGAGTTCACTATGCATAAAGATTGCATAATCTGTGACTGCGGTATGAAGAAGATCCTGAAATCGATTTCCACAAATTTTGCAATTTTTATATTCAAATTTGAATCATTAGAAAAGTTGTAGTTATGTAAATAAGTGCCATGACTTTACCTGCGTGGCTCCGTAGGAGTCGTGGTGGGCAAGATCGGCCAGGCGAGTAGAGGAGAGCGCGCGCGGCAGCGGGTTGGAGGGCACGCCGTGCGGCGCCAGCACGCCCGCCTCGGCCACGGCGCGCGCCTCCTCGTCCACGCCCACGCCGTCCGCTTCCGGCTCGCCGCGGAAGTTCACGAACGCGAACGCGGCCAGCGCCACCGCGCACAGCAGCCCGTATCCCGCGAACGTGCGCGTTGTGCCCCACTTGGCGACCGCTATGCCGCCGATCACGGCGCCGCAGCCTCGCCCCAGTCCGTGATGGAGACCTTCAAGCGATTCGAACGTTATAAAATTACGCTGTAGAGCTGTAGTATAGTGTAGCGCAGCGAGGGTTGAAGCGATGCGCGAGTACCTTGCAGGACGCCCTGAGCGGAGGAGCGCAGGCGCGGCGGCGCGCCGTGCGCGATGTAGGAGCAGCAGGCGGCCCACACGGCCGCGTGTGTCACGCCCTGCACGAACTCGAACGGAAGCACCCACCAGGGGTCCTCCAGCCACGAGATGTACAGGAAACGCAGCACGTTTCCCGCCAGCCCGAGGCATAGCACCTGTATTTACAACGTTACCCAAATAAGTTTTGGACTATTTACAATACATTTAAGGTTAGTAATATGAAATATTTTTCAAAAATAAATAAAGCAGGAATGGGTTGTTCCTACTATGATACAACAAAATAGTTTAATGATTATTTAATACAAGCCTACCTTAACGTGACCCATTTGAGTAATGAGCTTAAAGCTGAAGAAGTATGCGAAGATCTCCGAGATGTGGTTTATCACGGAAGCAACGCCGAACAGAGTGGGGGAGCCGCCGATATCCTGTCGTTTAAAAACATTTTATGATGAACTTTATACAAATAAGTACGTACAGCATACATGTCACTGTAACGTACAAGTAACGATTTCATACCTGAAGATGCCAGAAGAGGAACGTGAAGATCAGGCCGATGCCGAAGCCCATGAACCAGGCCACCAGTAGGAACGACGCCGCCTTGACGTTTTGGAACTGGCGCAGCACAGTCACCCACTCGGGCATCTCGCGCGTTGTTTGGGCGAAAACCTGAAATATCAACAGATAATTTTGGAATTATGATAATTGTGTGTATAAATTCAACTAACTTGTCAATAATACAATTAACTTGTCACATTCTTAACTAAGTTACTACTAGGTCAAACGAGGATGGCAGTGTCTCGGTCACCTTTGTTTTACACAAAACATCATTGAGTAGCGCGAAGACACTGCTTTTATTACTACCATCTAGCATTGACGAGAAGTTATTAATAAATGTATTTACTATGATTTATTATTCATTCATAATCCCCAAGTCCGTCTGATCGTAAAACGAGTAGCTAAACCTTGGGTAATATTGATAAAAACATATTACGCCGACTTCAAGTGATTGGGATAATTACAGAATACTCGTACATACCTATTCAGACATTGTGAAAATAAGTATATACCTAACGTAGTTTCATCCGTGTCAATATATTGTAATATGGACCTTGGCATGTTGCAGCGGCGGCTGGCGGGGCTGCGGCGCGCTGGTGTCGAGCCCCGGCAGCTGGAGCTGCTCAGCCAGCTGCTGCTGCATCTTCTCTTCGTGCGTCGGCTCCGATGGTGCCGGTGGCGCTTCTGTCGTGTTTATTTCTGGGCTGGCAAACTCGTATTTGAATTTAATCTACAACAAACAAATACTGGGTATAGATGCAGCATAAACACAATGTGCCACCATACCTTTTTATCCTATAGAATTTATAAAAGGCGACAATGGGAGAGTACAATATGTCAATACAAGAAAAGGAATTTAAAAATAAAAACCTAGCAAACCTAAAAAACAGCGTGCTGATAGTAAGCTCTCTTTTATAAAGAGAAGTTCGGCAATTGGACGTTAATAACTTATACACCTCATTGTTTGCAATATATATATATATATATATATATATATATATATATATATATATATATATATATATATATATATATATATATATATATATATATATATATATATATATATATTGCAGGGCATATATTACACATATTATATGCCCTGCTAGAGTTTACCGATAGCACGGTTGAGGTAACCTTTCTATTATCTCATAAAATGATTTTTACAAATATTGATGCAGACGTTTTTTTTTGAATTATGACAGAAAATGCAACAGTTGGACATCCGGCTTCATGAAACTTACCAACGTTATAACGTTCAAAAGAGAGTACAAGAGTTCAAAACTGAAACATACCTGTGAGGCTGTCATCAGTGCCGCTCCCATGAGCACCGAGAATGTGGCGAAGCAGATAGTATAATTCTTTTCGTATCGCTGCGGCCCGCCGCATGGGTGCGAGCTGAACGCGGTGCTGTGATCCAATGCGATACCCACGAAGAACATAGCCAGCCCCCAGCCCAGCGAGCCGAACATTCGTTGATGGCCGTACCTGCGGCGATGCGTTTCAAGTATATTACATGTACACTGTACATGTAATATATCAATCGTTTTGTTCTTAGTAATCGTCTCTGTAACTTCAACCGCGTGGTCTTATTGTTACAGTCGCAGATACTAACCCTAATCTATATTTACTGTTAACAGAGGATGATAATATTTGACATAAATCTACAACATAAAAAAGACCTATATTTTTTTTTTTAAATGATTAAAAAAAAAAAACGAAGACTCGTATTGAAACAGTAAGTATCGAAAGATTCGCTTGGACCGGTTTTGTTAGACGTGCACTAGCTTTTATGTTGAGCTTACCTATGTAACAAGACGACGTCTGTGCATATATACATACATACATACAAGCCAAAATAATTATAGAGATTTTGTTTGTCTATATCTGCTGAAGTGCTTTCGACTGTTACGATTTTATTATACCCGTATTAACGTCATAGGATATAATGTTTGCAGTACCTGTCAGCATCTTCCCCCAGGAGCGTTATCACTGCCGAGTCGGCGAGGGTTATAGCAGGGGCGCTGAAGAATTCGCCAATAACGACCAGCAGCAGAAGAAGGAAGAATGTCTTCTGTATATCGGGAGTCCGGTATACGATGTACGAGTGTAGTGGCGTGACCCAATCACTTTGTTTTTCGGGATCATAATTTTTTGCATCGCTGACGGGAAGTGGAGACCCCTCACGGCCAGCTCCCGTAGGACCCTTAAATTTACGTGTCGTGGCTGGCCATTCTTCGTCGTATTTAGGAGCGACCAATTCGTAGGAAGAACTGTTTGCCATCGGTTGCACACACGCCACCGCCGCCGGCTGGACCCAGCTCAGCGGCAATGTGAATACCACCCAAGCTCCGAGCGAGGCTAACAGTAACATGCGTCCTTTCTGCCATCTGTCGGCTAAGCTGCCCCAGAATGGTGCTGACAGAAACTCGACAAAGGGCCGCGTGCCGATTAGTAGCCCGCATTGGCCCGCGTTCATGCCCATTTGCTTAAAGTAGACGCCCATCAGCGGGAACAGCGAGCCGAATGCGGAGTAAAAGAAGAAGTAGAAGGTCTTGACTGTAAGTAATTCGGGGTCGACGGCGTCCGCGCCGCACATCAGCTCGAGCAGGTCGCTGCGGCCGCGCACTTTGTGCGTCGCCTCCTTCGGCGCCGGGTACCTACGCAGCCAGAGGTTCTGATTACGTTAAGCTCCACTTACATACAAAGTATATATTATATATAACCTGCTCATAACTTAGGTACATGAAAAAAAACATAATTATATAAGAATAAATTAATACGAAATCTACTATTTCTATTTCTAAGTAAATGTAATCAGCGCACTCCAGAATAAAGTATAAATAGTATGTTGGTGTGCGATTATTAAGTCATTATAATTATATATAGGAACAAAGATGTCAAATATTGATACGGTCACTATGTCGATAGGTTATTGATTATATAAATAATAATTTATAACAAAGTTGTTGTGTAAGTGCTTCCATAGACGCTAATTATTGTAAAATACATCTACAATAAAGAAGCAGGTAGCTAGGTACTATTTATCTGCAAAGTATTTTCATCTATATTTACCGCAAATATACAAGAACATTTATTATTGCTTATATAATTAAAATTTATAATCATTTATCAAATAACCTAAAAGTACCTAATTTTAAATTCAAATTCAAACCAGAGGGAGACTTTGTACAAAAGTCGTTTGCTTAAGCACCTCTGTCCCTGTCATGGCTGTAGGGTGAGATCTGGCAGTGAATTTACAGGGTACAGAGGAATAACACTTAAAGTCCTCAGAAGTGGCAACGCATAGGAGGTATCAATGGCGAAACAGTATACTCTGGTATGTCCATGGTACTGCTTATGTCTATAGGCGACGGTTACCAGTTTCCATCAGGTGAGCCGTCAGCTTGTTTGCCATTTTAAGTTGCATAAAAAAATTGAAATATTATTAAAAAAATGGTTACTTGAAAATGCTTTTTGCAATTTGAATGAATTCTTTGCTTCTCTGATTTTTTTTTTTACATTGACATTATAAATAATTTAATTATTATATAAAATGATCATTAATATATTGTAATTGTGACGTTGTGTAAATTTGTTACTGTTGATTGATGTGTTTTATTTACTTTTCAACTTTAATCACGACTTTATTGTATGACTGTAAAATAATTAATGTTATGTAGCTGATTGTATTGTATGCCTGATGTATGGGCAGGCTGTGTAAATTTTTTGTAAGACGTTAGTAACATTTTACGAATAATCATAATGTACAGCTCACAATAAATATTTTTTCTATTCTATTCTATTCTATTCTATTCTATTCATAGCGTTAAGTCCCGATTGTTATTAAAAATATTGTAAAATAATTGACTTGGCTTTATATGAGATCTGACAACTTTTTATACTAAAGAAAAAACTACGTTGCAAGATTAAGCATCTTTTTACATTTTGTGTTTATCCCGTCAAGGATATAAAAATATCAATGTTCCGTTACAGTACACCCTCTACGTATATATATTACCTTCGAACATTTTAGTGGCAAGATAAGTCGCGTTACGAGTACAAGGCCGTTGGAGATAAAAATCTATACAACTATAAAACTTTAGCACGGGCTGGGTGCCTCCACCGCTGCAATGAGTCTATGGTTATTATTTTTAGCTAGTTTTGGTTTATTTGTATAGGTAGTAATTCATCTAGGCTGCCATTTTGTGTTATGTCAATCTAACTGTTATTGGTTTGAGGTAAAGGAACTATTAAATATGGTTTGAATGTGCTTCTTGCTTATTTCTTTATCATTTCATTTATATTTACTTGCGTCTCGCGTGAGATCTGATTGCAATTTTATGTTTTATAGGTGTGTCACATTTATTCGTATAGCGATGTCGTAACGTTCCATTATCGACATGAATGCCTTTCATCTTCGAGACGTTTACTCGATTTTGTGAATTCAGGCCGAACACTCAAATCATCGACTGAGCGGGGATCAGACAGGGTCGATTCGATAGCTGTGACGTTATCTAGGACCGACGATATCACAATCCTCTGACCTCACTGGCCCATTGAGAGGTAAATACATTGTGTACTATGTAATGTGTCGTACAGGGGCGCTGGATGCGAGGCGTGAGGCGTGAGGCGCGAGGCGCGTGCGGGCCGCGAGGGCCCGTGCACGGAGGCCTACCTGGAGGTGTCCACTTCGCCGTACTCGTCGGGGTGGACGAGCGGGCGCGCGGGCTGCGACGCGGGCGGCGCTGCCTGCGGCTCCATGCTGGTGGCGCGGACTGCGGCGGCTGGCGCTCCGCGGACTCGACTGGCGGCTGTGGCCGAGGGCGGCCGCCCCACGGCTCGATACCGCCGCGCCTGCGCGCCGCGCCGCCGCCGTGCAGCTTGTTTGGTAATTAAGAAATCAAACTCGCTTATGTATACATACTCGTAGCAATCCTGTGACCACAGACGTTCTATTTTTATCCCAACTCTCGCAGCAGGAACGGTTCCATTGTTGACTTTAACAACTACATTTTCAAATATAACTAGGTTACTAGGGATTACTAAAAATAAATTAATTATTAATTTTCATAGAAATGTCATTATTAGTATCACATATACTATCCCTATACGAGTAGTAGACTGCGCTTTAACGCTCGCCTTGTTTAGACTTTGTGTAAAATATGTTTTAATTTCTGAGAATAAAAGTGGAAGTCTAATATCTATATCTTACTAGGTATATTAATTAAGAGAAAAATCCCGATCGACTGACATTATCAATGAGGAAGTATTTTTTTTCGATTTATTTGGATTTATATGATTACATATACATTTTTTATATGAAAATAATAAAACTTAATTTCGCTATTTCTCAAAATTGCAAATGCTTGCAAAATTAAAAATTTCATTGGGAAAATGCTCCTTTCATAGGATGGGAAAGGGAATGTTAATGATGGAGGTTTAATAGTCCTATTGCTAGTAATATAACTTATTAGGTCGACCTCTACGTGGCTCCCCATGGAAACTACCGTCTTTAATTCTTGAATTCATCATAATGGGCTAGCTGTGGCCTGCTTTCATCTTCATCTATTGTCATACCATTATCATCAATTAAAAAAAAAAAACTCTTTTTATAGGATGCTGTTAGCATCATTTCTATTTCAGCCCGCAGGTAGGTAGGTAGGTATATAATAAATGAAAAGACGATACTGCAATAGCTGTAACAGGTTTATTAGATGTTTACGGCTTTACAGACGAGGGGAATCAATGGTATTCTACTTCCTACTTCGTCTTACCAGCTCTACTACTTTTATAAATACAATACCGGCCACCTGTCTGACGTTAACCCTCTTTGGGAATGCATTTGTTGGTGGTTTCCGCCATCTACGGTATGGAGTAAAGGATTGAGGAAAAAAGGAAGGGTCGTTGGAAATTCGTAAAGGAAATGGGTGAATGAGAGAAATAAGGGACTTATGTGGGAAAGGAAAGGGGGGGACACTGCAGTTGCGGAAAGGACTGGGACACAGCACGCAGCGGCTCGGGAGGCCGGGCTCGCATACCCGTATGCCCTTATTTTAGAATTGGACAGATTTCTAGAGAAGAACACCCCTGACGCTATATATCATACGATAATTTTATATATCATAGGATAATTTTTACATTGATGTATGCGGGCGAAGCCACGGAGAACAGCTAGTGTAGGTATATATAAAATCGTTAATCTTGACTGATTTAGCATTGCACAGCTTAAACCACAGTGGTTAGAAACTTAAAATTTTGCCAGTTGATGCATTTTATGATGTGATGTAAATATCTACTAAGGAAAGATTTTTGGAAATTCTACCCCCAAATGTGGGTAAAAGAAGGGATGAGCGGTTGCATGGAAATCTGTAATTTTAAAAGTTAGAAGCATGAAATTTCATATTCTGAAATAAATGAATACAAATTTTAGCGTTTTAGGCCAATTGTCCCCTAAGGAGAAATAAATTTAATATTAAAAAAAAACTTCATATATTTATATACTTCCAGACGCAAATAATGAATTGCAAAATATAAATTATCTCAGTATCATTCCTTAGGGAAGTGCAGCAAATACGTTCTCTTTATATATCGTTTTATGAAGGAAGTTAAAAACTTAGGCGAACAGTAGAGTTTCGAAAACCATGTTTCGAATTTGGTTCAGAATTGTATCTATCGCCTAAAATTTTATAATAAATTCGTCATTTGCTATCTGTTCAAGTTCGCATCACTTTATGTCATTCCTCAGTCTTATCTAGATTCAATTATGATGACCTAGTGTATGACCATTGTCTACTTCCTAAAACGCAGCGTCTCATACAAACAATTCAAAACGTCTTTCTCCTCGTAGCCATATTTCACCCTACTTGAATATAGCGTCTATGCTAAATATGGAATCCTGACGATAATTACATTAACTACTTCGTTGTTTGGTTGTTTGGCGTTTTACATAGTTTCTAAATCGCAATATGGTTCGTTATGCTCAAAGTGAGCTCTGCTAGTAAAATAGTTTTATTTGATCTGAGTATTTAAAAGTAAAAAAAAAAATACATTTGCTCATTTACAGCATTAATTATATCCAAATTCATCAAATATCCAACGGCGTGGAAGGATGACCGCGGCTTCGAGCTTTAGCATCGTAGATCGAAAGAATAATCATCAATCTAAAATAATAAAATGTCGTAATATAGGTGTCCTTTTTTCTGTCCAGATTATTTTGAAAGTTACAGACGTCCAACCATTGGTACAACCATTTATCCTGGAGGAGGGGGGGGGGGAGGAATTGTTAGTAATGTGGATTACCGAATAACCGGGTGCGGAAGTTCCATTGCTAGCAATATACCTTGTCAGGTCAACCTCCACGTGGTCCCCCTGGAAACTATAGACCTGAATTTCAGGTGCACTTATAACGATGGGCTAACTGACTTGCCTTTTCATTCTCACCTATCAACACTCACTAGTGCCCCGTCAGTGTATACTGTTAGCGCAGGCGCAGTTACGATTTCATTATCATTCTTTACTACCTTACACGCGAGCGAAGCCGCGAGCAATACAAAATCCAACATAGATAAATCTCAGTTGTGGGCAAGAGCTATTGAGTACTAGCTCCTTCTGATTTGGTTCGGAGGCGTGCTATGGGATATGGCGTACCATAGTACAAGTATATGGCTTACCTGTAAGTGACTCCGCCGCTCATGAACACTCGCAATACCAGAAGCAGGGGGAAGGGATTGTTAGTAATGGGGAGGTTAGTCCCCATTGCTATCAATATACCTTATCAAGTCGACCTCTACGCAGTACCGCCTGGAAACTATCGGGACTAATTTATCGTTGAATTCGTCACAATGAGCTAACTGACTTGCCTTTTTATCATCACCTATTAGCTGTCACTGGTAGCCTGCCAGTGTATATTGACACCGCCTACGCTATCAGTATACATTGGCAGGGTACCATGCCATTTTCACCCATAAAACACCAGAAGCATATGCTTTTTTTCTTTAAGATTACAATATTTTATCGGTTCGAAAATACTGTTGCTGGAAGTTGATTCTAAAGTGTGGTTGTGCGTGGAAGAAAGTGCTTTGAAAAACGTACGGTGGAGGTTGGGATGGAACTTTAGTTACCATTTACCATCAGACGGGCCGTGTGCTTGTTTGCCACTATAGTAGTATAAAAAAAACCTTAATTATAGCATACCTAATTGCCATGGTTGCTAGATTCGAATTTGGATTTTTACCCGAACGTCAAATATTGTTTCTCCAAATCAATATGATTTTCAAGATTTTCACCCAGTCTTAAAGTGTATCGTTGTTCATTACGTTTTCACTACGTGTTACCATGTTCCATAGAGTGGAACACGAAAAAAAGTCCCATCCTTCTGTTTCTACTTTTAGCACACCTATTTTCTTCTTCTTTTATCCCAGTATCTGTTTTGTTCATTCATATTTCACTGTATTCATATACAGTTTCTAAGTACTAAAACTATTAAAAAAAACCCAAATTCCTCCACACTCATTTTACGTTTTTTCCGAGAATTTCATTCCCCAAAATGTCGCGAAAATAAAACTTTTACTCAAAATTGCGAAAAAAAAATACCCAATGTGTCAACGCTACTAATTACAGTCTCTTAGTAGTAGAGGGGTAATCTACATCCTCTTACGGGAACGCAGGTGCGGGTCTCGAATAACTACTCTTTACCCGGGCGCCAACTGTGCAGGCTACCGCATGCGCGTCACTGAATTTAGGCCCGGTGGCTCAAGTCGGTACTCTTGTAAATAGTACCGGCTAGGGGAAATGATTGTGAGAAATAATAAAATAACTACGTCATGAGACGTGCGGGGCCGGGGGAGATCTCGCGGCAGAGCGCGCGTTACGTCCAGGGGACGCGCATTGAGGGGGCCAGGTCCCTTAAGTGGGGATGGTAGTCGTTTACCACTCGGTAAACATAGCGCGACCCAACCGGCGAACAAATTCCTTTACGGCAGGGACCTTGAGATCTTAGGCAATTACGTCATTTCTGCCGTAACGACCCGCATCTGCGCACAGTCGCAGAGCAAGGTTTTGTAGAGCTTGCAATCGCCGCAGCTGTGATTCCGCATTGACCGGTTAATCTCTACCCTGAGGTAACGCACTTAGCATCCCCAATTAACGGGAGAACTACGGAGCTGGAGAGGCGATAAGAAAACTCTCTGGCGGCGAGTAAGTAGCGCGACCGTTTTTCCCACGTTAACGGCGGTGCGCCACCTATCAAGCCACTCAGGTGGTCCAACAGCCGCTGTATCTTACGTGCAGCGGCATCGACCCGACTTGACGTGAAATATGCACTGTCGTCGGCAAAAAAAGTGACAACGTCGCGCTCTCCCTCAAGGAGATCGTCACTTAAGATGGAGATATCGTCCTTGTACAGTCTCTTAAAAACTATAAATGAAGTGGTGTATGATGAGCTCATGATATTCTATATGCGAATCTTTAGCTAAATTCACATTAGGCACATGCTGCCTTCAGCGTGACATGAACCTGTATGAGCGGGCGTCGATGTAACGTTTTATTGTACCAGCCGAGTATTGTGATACGACCTCCAGACGGTTAACCCTTCTTTGCATAATGGTGGAAATTTCCATCATAACATTGAATGCCCAAAAATTATATAAAAGAACAAGTTCATTTTAGTTGATCGTGTCTGGATACCTTTTAATGTCCATTGCAGAAAAAAAAACATAGCTGTCAAATGTATTTTTTAACCATTTTTCCTTTAATTTTGAACATGAGTTATATCACCTTGATTTATTTCACCAATAAAGAAAATTCATGCAAAGAAGGGTTAATAGTCGACAAACAGTCATGGTATGAGCGTTCATTATATTCGTTTCATATTACCTATATTGATTGTATAATATTAGATTTACTATTATTTTATACCACCTTTTGCCTGCAAGTTTACACGCGTGCATTGTGTAAGTAGGACAAGCCAATGAAATAGAAGTCTTCTGGTATCTTATCAAGACATCACATACACGACATTTTAAATTGCACATCGAGGAACGCAGCTGTGGAAATGGCGCTCAATTTGGTGCAGTAGTTTTTGCGTGATGCTGGAACAAACCTACAGACAGACAGACAAAAATTCAAAAAATATTATTTTAGCTTCTATTGTTCCTAGGGATATATACAATATGAGGGATATTGCTTTGAATATCTCTTAAGTACAGATCATCGTGTTTATAATTACTCTTCTCCATTCAAAGGTTGTTTGGAAGAGATCGCTTTTAGCGATAAGATCGCCCATTGTTTTCTTGTAATTGTTTGTATTTATAATAAGTTTACTATTGTAATCTTTTAGAGGAAACAATAAAGAGTATCTTTCTATCTATGGTCTAGTTACAACTTTATTATTGGCGGGGTATTGTATATGTACGTATTGATTTTATCATTAGTGTAGGTATGGCGGAAGTATACACCCAATGAGACGGACAACGAACAGCTAGAATGTTCATATTTTATTATTATTTAGCATACAAATAACTTATTAGCTTATTATATCTAAAATACATAATAATATAATGCATAACCAACAAGTTTGTACAATCTGTTTAAGTACGCGTGCATAGTTCAAATAATTACAATAATTCCGCTAATTTAACAATAGGTATAACATTATAAACTAATTAAATTGGTTCGAGGGATGCCTTCTCCTGCACTATCGTCAAAACGAAACTATCATTATATTTTCAAGCAAATCTGCTGGCACTGTAGAGCTAGTAGTCAACCACTTGTCTGTTTGGTTGCACAAGCAGCTACAGGTATTTAAGTCTTATTGCTTTTTCATTTGTTGCTTAATTTTTCATTAAAAATCATTTTTTAAACTTTAAATGTTTTAATTGAACGGAATTAGGACCCAGAGTCGAAATATAGAAATAGACTAATTGCGAAGTAAGTGAACTAATCTTACGATTTCTCAAAATCTGGCGATATCGACAGACTTGCTAATTATTACTGGTGTACGTATCACTTTTTGATCTGCAAATTTGGATAAGCGATTCTTCCGTGAATATTTATATCCTAGACATCCACCGACCATTACATCTACTCTCCACTCGCACCGTCTAACCGGTTATCGGTAATGCTATAGGCACAAAAATGCTAGATTGTTAGTAGCTGTAATTCTAATTTAAACTAGACTTGTCATCGGTTCTAAAACTGTGTGCGTCAGTTCCCGCTGGCCGCCTCTCACTGCCGCTCCCGCTCCCGGTGCGCGGGCGCGGGCGCGGGCGCGGGCGCGGGCGTGGCCGAGTTCCTGGCGGCGTGGCGCGCCAGCCGCATGCTCGCCGTGTGCATCGACGAGCGGCGCCGCGCGCGCGGCCCGCCGCTCATCACCGGCGCGCCGCCGCCGCCGCCGCCCGCAGCCGCGCTCTCCGCCGACTGGAGCGACGCCAGGCGCTCCAGGCGCTGCCGCTCCTCCTCCGGACTCAACTCCTCGCTCTCCTGCGTCACGGACTCGGAGCGCGGCGACGACTCACTCGACGACGTGCACAGCGTACCCTGGAAACGGCCGATGTCTCAGTACGGTCTCGCTCGGATTACGCAGTTGACACATTGCGAAGTGATAGTCTTAGAGGGGCTACTATGAACGGTAATTACAAAGTTTCGGATTCAAATTTTAAGCATTACTGTACCATGAAACTCGTTCCGAAGTCAAGCTCGAGGTCGAGCACGGGGAGGTACATAAAACATTTGACAGAACTTTTTTCACGCTATTAACATTTATTTAAATAAAAAACATGTAATTTCTTACATCACACAAAAGCTTAAGAGGTAACTTTTTACTTTCTAATTTATGAATTTTGTGGTGAAAAGATAAAAATATCACTGTTAATGTAACTAATTGGTTTTTAAAAATATTTCTTATTTTGAGACAACACGTTCTAGTCTAATTACTTCTGTACTTAATTTACTTTTTCTGTCATATAAATTGTAAAGTGCGATAGTAAAATATTTATATTATATAAATATATAAAAGACCTCTCATCTTTTGTTTGTTTCCTGAAGCATACTCTGCGGTCCCCGTCCGAAAGCAATACGAGTACATCCGAAGAAATATAATGGTTGCTTTATATTTCGTTTTGTTTACAGTGATTCGTTTCGGGTATGAAGTTCGAGCTGACTTTATAGTAGCTTCTCAGAGCTGGAGTGTTGGTAGTCACTGATATCAAAATGATTTCTGACAACTACGATGACGACGTACGTCACGCAGTGCTTGAGTAAACAGCCAATTTAGAACGCCCTACGGTTGCCGCGGGTTTCGTGATACATTTTATAAAATAAAACCTAAACTAAAATAAAACCTAACCTAATAAAATTACAAATTATGTATGTAAGTATTAGAAGGAAATGAGGTGCATGTTTAGGCAATTACTTTCAAGGGTTTTTCCGATTGCTCAAATCGAAATACGAAGCGAATCTCCGCCCAGAAGCGCCGGCTGAAAGGCTCGTTAGGATCCCTGGGGTGGCGCCAGGCGGCCCATATGAGGTCGCAGCACGACACGATTATCCCGAGCGCAGATCCTACCACCAGTATCACGAACAAGCCCAGGAAGTTGGTCATCTTCAACTCTTCGCTCGAAGGGTCATCCCCGACCTGGAGATGCGATCAATTTTAGTACCATGGTAAATAAAGTAACATTAGTGCTTCCGTTTCTGAATTCTTCTTGTCTTATAACTAATAATTTTTTCAAGGTATAAAAATAGAGACGTCTCTGTAAGTGGACCGTGAACACTAGGTACTCACGTTGCAAGCGCCGCCTCCGTGCTTCTCGTTCCACCACTTGTGCTTCATTTCGCGCAGCACGCCCGCCTCCTGCAGGTTCAGCAGCGCCAAGTTCAGCTGGTGTCGGTACGGCGAGTCTGGACATATTTATAGTCTACTATAGACACGTATCTCTAGATAAATAAATGGCATGTACAAGATCATCAACAACACATACATATGCCACTCCTGGGGACTACATCAATTTGTCCTTATTCGTCCACTTGTGACTGAATTATCTTACGTTACGGTATAATATGAAATAATCACGTTGGGTATTAAATTTGTAATCACATGGGTGTCCTTACGTCAATAAGCGAGAGGGAGATATTGTACAAAAGTCGTTTGCTTGTGCACCTCTGTCCTATCCGTGTTTCTACCGTGAAGAAGTTGCGTTTGCATGGCTATGTTTCGGTTTGAAGGGTGGGATCTGGCAGTGAATTTACAGGGTACAGAGGAATAACACCTGAGATCACGGGAATGGCAATGCATGGAGATATAATGGGCGAAACAGTATATTCTGTTATGTCCATAGTACTGCTAATGTCTATAGGCGACGGTTACCACTTTCCATCAGGTTGTCTGTCAGCTTGTTTGCCATTCTAAGTTACATAAAAAATAAATAAAATAAAAAAAAGTTTTTGGCAGCTGCAAGAGTCAGTCTTGAATACAGATTCATTTCTTTATACTGATGGTATAATTAACGTTGCTTAAAAACAGAGAAATAACATATTGTTATGAAAAATATAGGTATTTAACAAATATATATTATTGAATACTATATATGATACATGTAGAGGGATTTAGTCTAAATGTATTTTGTATTTTTTTTTTCTATCTTCCTTTTTTCAGATGTTTTAATTTTTTTTTATTTTTTGTATTTCAGTTTCAGGTTTGGTCGTAACTACAAAGCTGGTAGTATACGTGCCAACTACACGGGAATAGAGGTCGATCGCGGAGCACGCAATCTTTACACTAACCAGTTCCGCATTGTACTGTACGAGTACTGTACGAAGCACGAAGGAACTGGCGTAAGACTAACTATAACAAAAACACAGTTACTGTAGACAAGAAACAAGACTCATAAAAGTATATACGTACACGGGGGTGCCAGAATGATCTAGTGTCCACTCCAGAAGCAGAGTGAAGCTTTACAAACACATCTCTGAGAGTACATATACGCTTTTTTAAGAGGGCAGGCCCACGCTGAGGAATAACCTTAAATACGCCAACCAAATATTCCACCAGCGTTAAGGAGATATTACGAAAAAAAAAAGTTAAATGAAATAATATGGAAATATGATAACAGAGAAGTGTCTTACTTTTCTTCATAGCAATGCCATATCCTTTGCTATCGAGGAGCGAGCCCACCTGAAACCAAAATGACAGTTCACGCTTACCATCCTCTAAGGACTATTAATAATGGGGATGTACTCATTACTAGTAATATAACCTATCAGGTCGACTTCCACGCGGTTCCCCCTGGAAACTATCGTGATTAATTACTGTTAAATTTGTCGCGATGGGCCACTGACCTGACTTGATCCTCACCTATTACCCCTCCCTGGTGTCCCGCCAGTGTACCATATACGATTTCATTTCATTCATGGTTACCATTTCATTGTCGTCCATTAAAAAAAATATTACTTAGGTACGTTCATAACGGAGGGTCAGTTAGTAATGAGCTTACTAGACTATCAGGACGACTTCTGTGTGTCCCCCCCCCCCCCCGGCCCCTAAAACTATCTAATGGTTAATTAATTAATACGAACCAGCTGAACTGACTTCATTCTCATCTATCATTCCTCATTGGTACACCGCTAGCTGATACTAGTAACGTCAGCACGGGGCTGCTATTGCATTTCATGTAATAAACATGTACATATACACGTATATATGTCGATTACATATCACTATACAATTTTATCTTTTGTTTTCAGTTATTCAAATATGACAAACTGCAGGCCACAAATATTGTATCTTACTAGCAGTTGCTTGCGACATACGCCTGTACAAATATTTTTATTAGCTCACGAGAACAATATCGTTATGTTAAGTAGAGTAAGTAACAGGAGTCGGTGTAATGACATCTTGCATTTATAATCGAGGTTGAGATTTACCATTGTGACGTCGCAGTTGCGCTGGATCGTATACTCGATGGACGTAGACTCCATCAGGAACGCAAAATCTTCATTCATCACCCTGTCCAGAAGAAAAATATTGGTTTGTTGTCATTTCAAAACAGCAGCTACTCGGCCACTACTGGCCACCGATCTCTCTCTACGTCTCTACGATTGTAGGATGCTACACTAACATTTAGTTTATTATCTAAAGGGTTTTCAACCAATTTCAAAAAGTTTTTTTTTAATTATTATTACGAGTGCCTTATAACTCTGCCAGTTGTAAATCAATTTGGAAAATTCTTTTCTTAACTGAAAGGATATACTTGCAATTGGTTCTATAGAAATTTTATCAAAATCGGTCCAGTAGTTTAGTTTTTAAATCAAAATAATTGGTTTTGCTTCAATTGAAATCCGTTTAATTTTTGTAGAACAAAATGAAATTATATTTCATATGCGGTATTGTTGTATTTTGCACTGTCCCTTACCACGCAATTCATCTTATTACTTTTTTTATCTTTGCGGGCTCCTAACGATATCCTGGGGGTGAAATGGGGCGGTAATACACGTGACAATAATTTAAATTCCATTAAAATAATTTCTTACTTCTGTATGCCAGCACCATTGTCGCCGGGCATGTCGTGTTCGCTCATGTGTTGAAACATTCTTTGATAAAGCTCGTTTTGAGAATGCTGCAACAGAAAATAATTCATTATTAATAATTTCGTAAGTATATTCGCATCACAGCCGGTCACGATTAAGGCTGCAAATGGTTCCGAAACTAATCAAACTATCTCGAGCTAATTACATGTAACTTAGACCGGTAGTTAAAACATTAAATAAAATTGTCAATTTAAAAAACCGCTTTACAAAAGTAGTACTTTCTTTTATAAACTTCATCATTGTCATCTTCAACATTCTTCATCATCAAGTTTTATGAATTTTAGCGTCATGATTATAAAAAGATCAAGAGAATAAAAAAAGGCACATCAAGTTGTTTGCCATCTCAGTGGTGTAGAAAAAATCACGTATATTATTATGTACAGTGTGAGTAGCATTCAGTGGCGAAACATACAAACAGATACTTTCCTGGAAGAACATGTAAGTGGATCCATTGATTTTGGCTCCATAGGTGATGCCCAGGTCGTTGTCGGCGAGGTCCTGCACGTTGTGTATGAGCTCGTTGTTACTCTTGTGCGCCAGCAACGTGGCCAGGTTCGCCGTGTACGAGCTGGTGATGACCAGCGCGAACAGCCACCACGCGCTCGCTACCGCCCGCGTGCCGTAAGCGCTATGTACCACATGTACATTTATTATATTAATACTTTTATTATTTTTTATGATTGAAAGCATGTCTATGCATTGAGATGTTAATTTGGTTTCTTAAACAGGTTTAAAACAGATTAGCTTATGGACCAGCAGACTTGTGGCTTAACTTCTTAAGTCTACAGGAATGTTTATTTTATTGCATGTACAAGCATGTTATCTTTCATATGTTATATTCAAAAAAATATTTCGAATATTGATAATTTTACATTTACGAGTATATGTGTACAGAGCATATACTCCTGCAATAATAATAGAACCCTTATCAAAATGTTGAGAAGAAATTATTTTATATCTAATAAAGTAACTGTCGTTCTTACACGGGAGCGATTTCTGAGCCCTGCAGCAGTACAGCTCCCAGGTTGAACCAGAGTGCGTTCTCCAGTGTGAACTGGTTCTCGAGAGCGAGCGGCTCCTCCAGGCACGGATACGGATTTTGCCATTCTTCAGGACACAGGCGGCCGACCACGTACAGCAGAAGAGATGTACCTAAATATGCAAAGCCGAGGCAAATCCAAACCTGCAACCACAGTACGATCCGTTATATTTCGTATGTAATCGTGTCGTAACTGACGTGACTGCATATTATGAATTGTAAATCAATTATTGGTAGTCGTATTGACAAAAGACCTCAAATTATAATTTGCATGCTTAATTTTTTTTTTCTAATGGGTAATAGAATGATAATGGAATGGTAACTCCACCCGCGCTATCGGTATACATCGGCGGGGCACCAGTGAAGGATGATAGGTAAGGATGAAGTAGGTCAGTTAGCCCATCGTGACGTATTCAATAAGAATTGTTCACGATGGTTTCCAGGGGGAACCACGTCGAACTAATGAGGCATATTGCTAGCCTCCCCCCGCCCCCGGTGGCATGCTGAATATGGAACTGTTTATGTATTGTATAAGAACTTTGTCATTATTATTCTTATTCGTAAGGCGTATTGAAAGTATATTTCTCAAATAAATGCTCACCTCCCTGGAGAACGGTAAAAGGAATGCGAATAATTCCGGTTCTGGAGTCTTCGGTTTACGGAATAAAATGCTGATACCGAGGTTCATGAATGGCGTCGAAAAGTCAACTGCCTTCTCGCGTTCCGCCGTGATCGTCAAGTCGGTGATTGCGAAGTCTATTTTCTGTGGACATCACAAGCGATGATAATAGTTAAACGCGTCATACTAATATGCATATTATATAGGTATGTTGTAATTTGGGCTGGGCAAACCACTTACCGGATCGCGCATAAGCTGACCCAGCATACCGTCCCATTCCCCGGAGACATTGGTCGGGGAGCCGTACTTTCCATCCGGCTGCTCCACTAGAGTATACGTGAAGTTCAACAGCTCAGCTAGTTTACTGATCAGTTCGACGCAGAAACCTGAGCACGAGTGGTCAAATATGCATGTTATTAATTGTGAAGCAATATTGTTACAAAATATCATAGCTTGGAAGAAATAAAGATCATACTTTTTTTTAAGACTTTCTGATATGTGAGAAGCGTTGGTATGAATTATTAATTCTGAGTCAATATTAACATATAGTGAATACTGATTGATTTTACCTTCATAACGATCGTTCCCTGACAATCTTTGGGGCGATTCTTGTCTCATTACATAAGGTTGGTTCTGTAAATGAAAGTTTTCCATTAGTGGTTTTAATACAATGAAACGTATAGGCGCGTGCCACGCAACGAACCAAACAGAATACTCTCTGGTCTGACTCGCGTGGCACTTCTCGTGCAACGCTGTTCTCAAGGATTAGTGCCGTGTTACGTCTACGTAGGTAGGTACTCGGTAAGTTTACTGCCACGTCACACTCATCCTTGTCTACAAAAGTTAGTGGCTGCTCAGGGGCAGAAACTGGAGCGAGCCGGTACGTAGCTACATAGGGAGCGCGAGGCCGGTACCGGAGCAGCCAGCACCGTGGATGTCGGTCAGCGGCCGCAGGCCCGTACCGGCGCGATGAGGATGGTGAAGGAGCGGTTGGCGACGGAGAGCTCCGCGGGCGGCGGGTCGCGCGGGCCGCTGGGCCGCTGCCAGGCCAGGCGCGTGGCGGGCGCCCAGCGGCCCGCGCGCGCCAGCCGCCCGCCGCGCTGCAGCTCCGCCACGCGCAGCGTCACCTCGCGCCGCCCGCCGTCGCGCTCCCACGCCGCGCCGCCGCCGCACACGCTCACCGACGCGTTCCACTCCTCCTGCACACCGCCATCACATCGTCATTGTTGACCGCGCACCGCACCCCTCCGAACTACGACTCGACGCTCGACATTTCATATTTACGAGATGAGATCTAGGATCCTCTACCCCCAGCGTGCGATTAGTTTCACGTAATAAGCAGTTTTTATATTCTAGAAAAAAAAAAACGTAGCAATTTAATTCTGAAGAAAATTAATATAATCGAAGTAATCTCTACTTATTATTATCTTTTAAACTTAATTACAAACCGAACGAATATAATTGAGGAGTGTGTCGGCGTGAAACGCGCCGAGTCCGTGCTCGCAGCCGCCTCCCCCTATAGAGTGCAGCTGTAGACGCTCGAGCGCGCTAGCGACGAGGCGGGCGCCGTCGTACGCGAGCAGCAGCGCCGTCGGCGGCGCGGACATCACCTCCTCCAGCTCATCTTGTGGGACCTCGCCGCCCAGCCGACTGACGTACGCGTCGCGCCACGCCTCCATAATTCTCACCACTTCCGGCGACTCGGGGTCGAACAACTGTAGAGCTGGGAGGATGGAGGAGAGATTCGTAATAATGTGGTTTATCAGTCCCAATACTAGTAATATATCTTATCAGATCGACCTCCACGTGGTCCCCTTGAAAACCATGGTGCTGAATTAATCACGATTGGCTAACTGACCTGCCTTTTCATTCTCACCTATCATCAATCGTCATCATTATATTTGAGAAATGCCTTTGATTTATTTAAAACCATTACAATCAGTCGATTTTGCTCCGGAACTTTTCTTTTTTACTCACAATTTCTTTCATCCATACTGATATGATGAAAATAATTGTCTTTTTACTTGATTTTCATGACTAAACGAGTGATTCGATTTTGATTAAATTTGGTATGAGGATATCTGAGGCAGAGTACAGACTCAGGTGGTTAAGACAAATAATAGTAATGTGAACTGACTGGTGATGTTGGCGCCGCCGTGGCTGTAGTTGGCGAGCGGCTGCGTGTGCAAGTCGAGCGTGAGCACGATGTACGAGTGGCGCTCCGACAGCAGCCCCACGCGCTGTGCCGCATCCAGCACCAGCAGCGCGCGCTCCGCCGTCTCGCACCACACTATGAAGTTCGTACTGCCCGACTTTTTGAGCAGCAGCAGTAGGTTCCTGCCCGCAATCGTATTGATGACTAACCATAAGAAGGGAATACTAGAACGCTGGACAGGCGGCAGGGTTTAGGGTTTTACTTGGAGTTTTCCTAGTAGTATAAGTACAAGTGGCATCAGCACGGACCTGAGCAGCGCGTCATCGCCGGGCGGCGGCAGCTGGCGCGGCACGAGCGTAAGCTGATCTGCGTCGGGAGCGAGCTGCGCCGCGTAGTGTGCGCTGCCCTCGTACAGTAGCACCGCCCTCTCCCACGACTTCTCCACGCACAGGTCCCGGCAAACCTGTCTAGCGACCATACATACCGCTATATAGTTTATTGTTTTTAGAAACACATTACGAATGCAGGTTAAATAAAATGTTACTGTTTAAGTACATTAATTACTATTTTTAATTACCACAAATTTACTATAATCACACCACATCCCTTACAGATTAGGTAGAGAGAACCGAGTGCTGAATTTTTTTTTTGCCAATGTAGTAAAGCGAATAAAAGTAATATATATCCATATGTATTTGGAGAATGCTCTAAGAAATTGAATATAAACTGGGTATTTACCTTAGTTCTGATGCCTATTATTAAATCAGCGAGTACCTAATGAGTACCTAATTTAATCGAATACTCTATTTAATGAGTACTTGATTAAATCGACTAAATGCTTCTAGAAAATTGGTATCGTGGTATTGCATCTATTCATGATTGACATACACCATCTACGTTTGAGGTTTTTTTTTTTTATAATAAAATTGAACTGCGCTTGTGCTATTGGTGTCCGTTGGCGGGATAACGGTAAATGATGAATGTAGGTCAGTTAGTTCATTCAGAATATTTATATGTCAACCGAGCACTTAAAAAATCACCATGGCTAAATCGCATTTCTGAATTACTCGATACAGGCTTGCGTGCCTAGTGTGTGATTCGTAGCGTTAATCATCGATTTAAAGTGTTTTGGCAAATAAATATTCATTTAATTCAGAAGAATTCATCAGGAAATAAGTATTGGAGTCGAACAGTCGCATTACTAGCAATATACCCTGTAAGGTTGACCGACACATGATCCCGTGGAATCCATCGTAGTTTCACATGAATTCGCACGACCGGTCAACAGTCTCGACTCCACCCTTTCAGTGGTCCCTCTAATATTGTCAACTAGTGAAGACTACTACTACTACTAGCCGAGAGCGAGAGCGGCACGGCGCACCTGAATGAATATGTCGGGGTGGGGGTGCAGCGCGAGCGCGTCCCAGGTGGGCGGCAGCGGCGCGGGCCCGAGCAGCAGCAGCGGCACGCCGGCGCGCGCCGCGCCCTCGCCGGCCAGCCGCGCCGCGCGCCGCCCGCCGCCGCACACCAGCGCCGCCGCCTCGCGCGCGCCCTGCACCGCGCGCAGTCCCGCACTCCTCACTTCCTACTCACTCACTCCTCATCCCGGTCTATCATTTCCATTTCATTCGGTGGCTAGGTATTCGTTTGAGGGATAGAATGTGGAAATGAAGTTCCTGGGAAAGCAGCCCTCAGGAATGGCAACGCGCAAAGGACATCATGGGCATCAGGATATATGCGGCGATGTCCACGCTCTGTGCATGGTTCATGTCTATTCATGCATATTGGCGACGTTTGCTGTTTTTAATACCGGTGGGTGACCGGTTAGTTCGTTTGTCATTCTGAGTTCATCATCACCGTATCAGCCTTGTACTGCTGCCAGTAGTTACCACAATTGGCAGGCGGATTGGCAATCGTAGTTACGCTTTAGAGGTGTTTTAAGAGGGACGCTGCTACTCGTCCCTCGCCCTCCCTTAGTCGTCTCTTACGACACCCACGGAAAAGGAAGAGGTAACTTATTCTATGCGGGAGCCACACGGCAAACGGCCGTTTTTTTGTACAACTCGAAATGTCGTGTTGCACAAAAAAAGGTCGTTGATGAATGAAATAAGTAAACACTTTAGGCTACTAACGGGCGTGTAGTACGTTATATAACAAACAAAACTTATTTGCCACCAAATAGTGATAAGATGTGTGCGTGTGGTGTGGCGCGGTGTGGTGTGTGGTGCGATGGGACACCTGTTCGCAGACGTGCGCGGGCAGCGCGAGCGGCTCGTCGGGCTCGACGGGTGCGACGGCGCTGCCGCCGGCGGCCGCTCCCAGCGCCGCGTCCACCGCCGCCGCTAGCTGCTGCGCGCGCCGCGGGTCCGCCTCCACCACGCCCACACCTGCGCTCCCATAACACCAACACTGCGGTCTCTATAACTTTTTTCTTTTAAAAACATTATTGCAACGTGTTTGTGTATTTTTTACCAATAATAAAAAAAAAACTAATATAAAGTGAAGATCAATTTCAAACTTAAAAAAATTGTATCGCTTCGACAAATTTTTAAAATTCGAAATATTCACGCCATTCGCCTAGTCCCGTGTTTCTTTTTTCAATGGGTGAAAATGGTATAGTAACCCTGCCTGCGCTAACGGGATACGCTGGCGGAGCACCAGTGAAGGGTGATAGATGAGAATGAAAACAGGCCAGTTAGCCCATCATGATGAATTCATCAGGAATTAACCATGATAGTTTCTAGGCAGAATCGCGAGGAGGTCGACCTGGTTGGGTATATTGCTAGCAATGGGATTCTCAGTCTCTATTACTAACAATCCCATTCCCCCCAGCCATCCTCCTAGTCCCGTGTTATGTATAAGGTATCAGGCAACAGACATCTGGAAGATAATCTAGAACCAATAAAATACCTGAACATTCAGACCCAAGTCAGTACAAAAGAGTTCGCTTTCTAAATTGACCCGACCGGGAATCGAACCTGGGGCCTTATTATGCACAGTAATGTGCCTATCGCCGCACCATAGAAGTCTCTAAATATATTGTAGTATTAGAATTACGAAAGGGATCGAGAACGAATGATTGATGACGTCGGGAGGGGCCGCCCTAGTCGGACGTATGTCGTCTGAATATGTGAAGTGCTGATGAAGGCCAAAAGTAAAAGTACCCGTAACCGGCGGGCGTCTGTAAATAGATTGTAGAACGTGAAGAAAGCGAAAGAGGTTCGTTTGAATCCGAACATTTGGTGCTTTATTTTTTTCTGCCTATCACAATGGGAGACAGGTGCGAACAATATGTACGAGTATGTATGTATAATATTTTCATAAAAAAGACGCAATAAACTGTACAATCAATGTTGTTTCCAAGGTTTCGTACTAATAAGGTATAATGGAGACCTTTTAGTGCGACTTTGTACGTTCATCAGCCACAGCGTTATATCTCGACAACTACTAATGCTAACGATTTAAAGTTTGTAATATTTTTACATATTTTTGGCCCACACATATTAATACAATGAAATTAATGGAGGTTTTTTTATTTTTTTTGTTAATGGGTCCAAAAAGGGTTCTCAAAATCTACTAGTCCATGTTAGGTATTACATAAAGGGTTTCATTTATACATTTTAAAACTAATTCTTATTTATTTTTGCGCTGTAGTTATAGTTTTTTTTAAGAGGTTTTGTAGAACCATTCACTCTTTATCTCCGAAGTTTGAGAAAAAATAATTTCATATATATATATATATATATATATATATATATATATATATATATATATATATATATATATATATATATATATATATATATATATATATATATATATATATATATATATATATATATGAGAATTGCTGAGGAATTGCTGTTAAAGTCCTATCTTAACCGAGTATGTCAAATGGATAAATGCGCATAGATAAGTATCGAACCATCGCCGAATAGAACACAACTGGCTCGTATTCATTTCAATAGCATTACATAGTGCATACTTATTAAAATCTAAATAAATTCAACTTTTACTAGACTATATTTTATAATAAATATATCTTTACCATACAATTTCAATACAATAATCAAAATCAGTTTTCATCACCGAGAACAATCCAGTGCAAACAATAATAAACAATACACGAAACGTTTACTGTAAACTCACCAGTATTTACACGAATTAAGACATTTGCCGTGACTTTGTGGTTTCTCTAGATATCCCTATTCCCTAGTATCTGTCCTCTTTTTTATGCGATACTATGTAAATTGTTTCGTTTTTGTTTACGTACAATATATCACTCTTGATATTGTTCAGTAATGCTATTAGCTGTCGCTGAATCTATTTGCGTTTGACAATATTTTTCCAATAAAAATATTGTCATAGGCCAGGACTCAAGACATAGATAGATAGTTATTAGTGCTATTCGAAACGACGCAATTTTTCTGTTTTTATCGCAATGGATATCTATTTTAATGAGAAATACTTATTTCGGATGTGTCCTCCTGGTTCATCTATCGTTTATAATGATGTAGTGTGTTGAAGAATCCGTATACTGACCGATTCGAATGTCAACATCGGCACGTGTTCCCGCGGGAGACAGCAGCACAGCCACGAGAGTTAGCCAGCGGGAAGCCGCCATGTCGCCACGGCGCCGCGGCGCACGCGCACTGCCACCGACCGCGCTTCGTCGCGCGCTCGCTTGACCCGTTTCTCGATCTATTCCTGGCCCGCCGCGTCACGCTACACGCCGCGTGACGCGTCACCTCCCCCGACCTCGTGGCCGGCCAGGCCGGCCAGGATCACCTGCTCTGTCCTCGGACGACACTCCTCGGGTTCTTAATATTTCGTTAATATAATATCAAGTAGATATCCCTTATTTTAAAACCTTTTTTTTTTGTAAATGCTTCTAAACAGTATTAATTTGAACATTTTCTTCACTAATATCAATGCTTTGTAAATACGTACTGTTATATTTTTACTATTGAAATGTATGTAGGAAATAAATGTACCTATACATAATAGAAAAGCATAACTTGGGGATAGGACAGCCTAGACGTATTCGTAAATATGATGGCTTGATGGCTTTTTACAAGATATCGTGTGGTGCGGGCACGGCGTGGTGGTGGCGCAGCAGCAGTATGAGCACGGTGTCGGCGGCGCCCGCGCCCGGCGTGCGCGTCACGCGCGCACACGCGCCCCGCACGTCGCACTCCTCCCCCTCCACACACGTGCCACACACGTGCCCTTCTGTATCCGTTTGTGAACCAGCCTCGCAATAGCCTAAAACATTGTTTACCGGAAGGAGGAAAAATTAAGTTTTGTTGATCGGATGAAAATTCTTACTAATATATTATATATGAAAGTGATCGGTTAAGGCGCTATAAAGAGACAAACGAACAAACCATTTGTCACCTTATATCGCCTTAACCGATCACTATAAAATTTGGTATACAAGTACTACACGGGATGGAGGAGGATATTTTTATCTCGATCAGTAAATATACGCTGCTCACCTTAACTAAGTCGCTAGTAAGATATAATTTACTATTGATAATATATGTATAATCATCATCATCATATCAGCTTTTAACTGTTTACTGCTAAACATAAGCCTCCCCCTTAGGGGCTTTTGTCAGTAGTTGCCACGATTGGCAGGTGAATTGGCAACCGCAGTCAGGCTTTAGAGTTGTTTTCAAAGGGGGACGTTGTTGCCCATCCCTCACCCTCCCTCAGTCGGCTCTTCCCCCTTCCTTTTCCACCCACAGAAAAGGAAGGGGTAGCCTATTTTATACCGGGACCACACGGCCATATATTATACCATATAACATATAATCCTTATTATTTGCTTAAAATAAAAATATATTTTTCAATCATTCACGTCATGGAGCATATCTTTTCATATTTTCTACACATGAAAAGATGAAAAAAATATAATCATGATTGTACATATATTTACCTGTCTGAACCTTTGTCGATGATAAAGTCCTATGCATGACGATGGGGCCAGCATTATGTGACTCCTTTCCTGGCCGATATTTTCCAACGTGACAACGAATGGAAGTGGCTGTGAGGAAATGAGCTCGAGTATTACGAGCCGGTCGACATATGCATACCCATACTCGGGGGCCCAAAGAGAGTATCACACATGCGCCGGCCGATAATGATACGCAAGCGCACAACGTTGCCGTCCTAGCTTCCGTGGCAGCGTATAACGGAAAGAAAGCTACCCACGTCACGCAGGTGGCATATGCAGCGGCACCAACGAATCGTGTTTCGTTGAAATTGTGCGGCAAACGGCGAGTTTGTATCGCAAGCGCAACACAGGCTGCGAGCAGGGCGAGTGCAGGTGCCAGGGGTATCAGTTGTGCAGCAGCCAGTTCGCCGCCACATGTGAGGACGGAGCGCGCGCGGCCCGGATGCAGTAGCCGAGTCGTCGGAGGCCACCGGATTGCGCTCCAAGTCGCCGTGATTATTCCGGGAGCGCTGAGTCCGATCCAAGTCCATACTTGTGCACGCGAAGACAGCAAGCGAGGACGCGTCGTCGGTCGTTTTTCCACAGCGGCTACGAGACGAGCAATCCGTAGGGTGCGCGCCAATATCGCGGCGTAAACACCGGCTAGTGCAGGAGCTGTCAGGCGGACGATCGCACAGGGTATCGCCGCAGGACGTATGGCAGCTGCTAGAGCTGCGCCGTGGCAAATCGCAGCCGAAAATAGGAGTAAAGTACACAACTCCCGTGATGCTGACTTTACGACGGGTGTATCGCGATAACGCCAAAATGTAACGCCACTTATGGCGACTGCAGCTAATCCCGAGGCACCGGCAGTCATCGCTACACTTCGCGCCCAGCGGCCACCGCTACCCCATTCTACTGGAGACGGCAGGCATCCTAGAAACAAACCAAACGACTGCCCTTTAGGTTCCTCCTTATATCCACTAGTAACCGTCGCCTGTGGACATGAGAAATGAGCCATCGACAATATTCCCATGGCCTCTTCGCAGGTCGCTATTCCTAAGGAAGCATGCAAGTGGCCGTCACGGAATACGTACGCAGGCGGCGCAGGTCGGGCCTGTGTCCGGGCGGACAGAGGCGGCAGCCGGCGGCGGGCGGCGGCGCGGTGATGGCGAGCGGCGCGCACGAGACGCACGCCCAGCAGCAGCGCGCGCGGCCCTGCCCCACGCGCGCCCACTGCCCCACGCCGCACGGCGCCGAGCACGCCGCCTGCACGCCCGTCGCACGCCTGCACCCCGATTTTTAATACGGGAATTTTATTATGTCAAGGAATTTCCGAGTCAATATAAATATTAACAAATATTGTTTAATGCAATACTACCTGAGTGTAGCGGCGTGACCACCACGCAGCGTGAGTTTGCCACGCCGCCACCTGCCTACGCGCTCGTATCGCCACCTTTCGCCACCGTTGCCACCGTTGTCGTTGCTCACCAAGTTCATGACGTCGTACTCGCTTAATCTGTTTAATCGTTTTGATATTATGCTAAATGATTACCTAACTAAGTGGATCTTATTTATACTGATTACGTCAAGGCATTTCAAGTCCAGACTTGAACTCCTCTAAATGCTTTTCGGTTACAATTATGCGTAAGTCTATAACTTTAGCTATATGCTTAAGGGCCAGCAACTTAAGAAAGTATCACATATGAGGGACCTTGAAGTAACACACGATTCAAAATTATTATTCGATACTCATATTGACAATATCGTCAATAATGCTATGCGAACACTGGGGTTTGTTATGCGTAGCCCCGCTTGCTTTGTACATGCGAAAATCTTAAAGATACTCTACTGTACTTTTGTACGCGGTAAATTGGAGCATGCATCGCAAATTTGAAATCCTAGATATCTCACCTACATTTCCAGAATTGAAATTGTCTAGAACAAATTTATCCGTTATTTAGCATACCGTACCAATGCGGAATATGACTCGAAGCAGTACACTAATTTCTGAATAAAACACCATTTAATAAGTCTGGAAAAACGCTGAGAAATAGCTGATATTATTTATTTGACTAAATTAGCTTCGGATGTAAATAATTCCTGGGTTCAATTTCAATGTTTCATCTAAACTGACTAAATTTACCCCTTCATTTTCTATTCCCGTCGTTTCAACAAACTATAGACAAAACAGTTGTTGTTTATTACGACTTTAATAAATTAAGTAGACATTTAGATATTGATATATTTCATAGTAAAATATCCACAGTGAGGAATATACTGAGTAGGCAATTTTTTTTTTTGGCTAGCAATTACGGGTACGAACTTCGCCTCGACGGCCTCTTTTTCTATCAAAAAACTATAGCCAACTACGAGATTCTACTGACTAAGACGTGTTTTTATGTGTGACGTGTATATATATATATATATATATATATATATATATATATATATATATATATATTATTAGTTGTTGTTTTATAAAATAAATTTATATACCCTGGAGGCGGGTCGCCGTTGTCGTCGAAGGCCACCAGGCCGCCGTCGGGCGCCCTGAAGCGGACCCTCGCCAAGTGCCTCCTGTAGAGCGATACGTTGAAGGGCAACATGGCGGCGCAGAGCCCGCCGGCGGCGGTCGCGCCGCACGCCGCCGCGCGCATGTCGTGCAGCGCGTGCGCCAACGCGTACACGCCGCGCACCACCAGCGCCAGCTTCGGCTCTTGCGTGTAACTCGCCGCCAGCGACTCCCGACCTGGCCACCGAGCACTCCTTATGAAAGAGGACCACTGTATTTTTTTTTGCTTATCCTTTTTTATAAAATTACCTCAATTCAAATAAATGCAAAAATAAGTAGTTAGTATCAAACTAAAGACATACCGGTGCAACGTTGTACATTATCTGGAGGATCGGTTGCAAGCGAGCAGTTAAATTTTTGTTCCCAAAATTCCTGCACAAATTAATTATTTTAAAATATTAACCTTCTTTGAAAGCTGCATCGCACGGTAGGCGTTAACTCACGAGCACTTGCCTGGAACCAGGGGTTTCTAATATTGTTGCTAGGAGTGAGCTTGTGATAGTACGCGTCGAAGTCGTTGAGGTAGGGCGAGCGGATGCGGAGCGTGAGCGCATCGGCGGCGGTTCGCTCGAGGCCTGCGACCACGTCCCGGCGGTCGGCCCAGCCGTCGCTGCCCACCAGCCGCAGCGTGTGCCGCGCCGGGCGCCGCGACAGCCCCTCCAGCAGCGCGCGGGCCGTCCGCCCCTCGCACCAGCACACGCATACCTGCCGCGCAATCGATTACCACTTTGAATAAATCACTCGCAACCGTATGTCAACAGCTAACAAACAGAGGGAGATTTTGTACAAAAGTCGATTGCTTGGGTACCTCTCTCCCATTCGTGTTTCAACCGTGAAGCAGTTGTGTTCGCATGGTTGTGTTTCGGCTTGAAGGGTGGGATAAATAAATTCACGCCATATCCCACATATGGCGTGAATTTACTGGGTACAGAGGAATAACACCTGAGTCCTCAGGAATGGCAACGCATGGGGGGTATCATGGGCGAAACAGTCTGTTATGTCCATGGTACTGCTCATGTCTATAGGCGACGGTTACCACTTTCTATCAGGTGGGCCGTCAGCTTGTTTGCCATTTTAAGTTGTATAAAAAAAAACCTTTTTATTGGGAACGCGTGAAGGTATCAAGCTGAAATAAATTAATACCATGTACTAAAAATTGCAATCCCTTGAAACTGTAAAAAAACCATAAGTCAAATATATTTATATATTGTTTTTTTTTCGATATAAACTCATTTGCAGTCAGTAAATTGACCGA